GAACAGTGTGGTGATTATAGGATATTACAGAAAGTAAGAGAATAATAGTTGGGCTGCTAGTCATAGCTCTCAGATATGAAATTCAGTGTGGATGTGGGGAGAACTACTTTCATCAATAAAGGATGAAAAATTATATGGACAGGTAGTGGGAAATTTTGAAGGGGGAAAAAACTAAGTTTTGGTATTTTGGGTCTGGTACAAGACTGATCACAAAGGTAGTGACAGTTTCTGAACAGTAACAAGGAGAAAAGATTTAATAAATGTATTCAAAATAGTGCACTTGGGGGACCTTGATAACAAATGTATTTTTAATGGAAATATTAAAACATTGAGGAAGAATTCATTCGGGGGGTGTGTGGTTAATGAGGATTGAACTAAAGGGCACTTTGCCACTGAGCTACATATCCAGCCTTTTTATTTTTTATTTTGAGACAGGGTCTTCCTAAGTTGCTGAGGCAGGCTTTGAACTTATCTTCTTTCCTAAGCCTCCTGAGTCACTGGAATTACAGGTGCATGCCAGTATGCCCAACAAGAATTGATTATTTTATTAGTTCATTTCTAGTATATGTTTATTATGTTGAGCTGCCTATGTGAAAATGGCCAGCCAGCAGTTGGAGACAAATTAGAGGGGCTAGGAGTAAAGAGAAAGAAATGTTGAAGTGTTCTCATGTCAAATGGTTTTTCCTTCTTTATGAAATTGGGATAGCTTAGAAGGTTTAGAACTAAACTGAAAAATATACTTACTTAGTAGAGAAGAGATAAACAACCAGAAGGAATAGGTTGGGAAGACATCTTGTTATGTTGTGCTAGAGACATGAAAGGAGAGTAAATTTCAAGGAGACTTGATGAATATAATATCGCTATCTTATCTTCAGTATCAGATTATAGATAAACTAAATGCGATTAAATTTGAAGATGAATTGTTTTTATAATATTTTTCTTTTGACAACAATCTAGAGCTAATCTACTTATCTTTTTTTAAAAATCAAACCAGGCATATAGCGTTTTAAAAATTTCTTTATCTTGATACCATTGGTTTTAAATAGCTGTCCTTAGTTATGTAATAATATTATCATAAAGAATTTTCAATAATTTTATTTAACTCTTAAAATTCTCTACACATAAAGAAGAACTTCTAATTCTAAGTAGGACAATTCTTAGTATAAATTCCACTACTTAGCTATTTGACTCTTGGTATATGAATCTATCATAAAATTATTAGAGTATATTAAAAGGTGTACAATTTTAAGTTTTGAAATGTTTTCTAGATAAGATGTTTTCTTCTAATTAATGTTATATATTTTTTTTAAATGCACAAAACAAGAACAGTGATCATGGTCATAGAATTAAAATAATTCCTTAACAGTGTAATTCTGCTTAAGCCCATATTTTAAAATTTTCCTGTTTTGTGTTGAGGCCCTCAAGAAGTACATACTTCTTAATGCTCAGATCTGTTTATCTGTGTATTTCTAATGATTTAAATAATTAAGACCCTGTCATTTTAGCATGAATTGACATAGGTACTTCATTTCCACATTTGTTCAGTTCTTCCAATAAGTCTTCCTTAATATCAAATAGTAGTGCATTAGAAAGGAATCTATAATGATCACTTAAATATTCTCCATCATTCCATGGACAGATGAGATGTTTTTGCCCACTATTGATGAACAGATCTCTTTGGACTTAGACCTCATTCCTCTGTCTCCATTAATCATTGATCTTTCTGCTTCACATAAATTATATTAGAAGTTGTACATTCTTTCTTAAGTACAGTAATTTTGTCATCAGCAAAACTTTCATCTCAGAAATTTTTGTATTGAATTTTTTTAAAGTTCATTATGAATAAATCTCCAAACTTTCTAACAAAGGTTATACTACTCATTTCTTGTTAATATTTCTATAATTCTTCAGTCTAAGAATTTTCTAATAGGGAAATAATTGTTTTAATATGTGGTCCTCTCATCTTCTGCTTTAAAAAATATATATATAAAATTACCAAGCATATTTTTTTCTTTCTTTCTTTTAATTCCTCTTTTAAATTTTTGCAGTTCTTGGCAAATACTATCTCATGGCTTATTTCAGCTATTTCTTGATATTATTTAATGTATATGAGTTTCTTATTATGTGGTCTTTATTTTTATAGGCGCTGGGTAATGTATAATGAGTATTCTTCATTTTATTACAACAGTAATTTATTTAAAACTCATTTGGAAATTTGTCATTATTTTCTGTTTTGTTGGAATTATTTTGCTCTAGCAATGCAGGAAGTACTAGTATAAGCTATATATAATATTAAATTTTATGTTGACACATTATTTTGTTAGGCAGTATATTTACTTTTATTTTAGATCCATATTCCTTTCATATGAATAGAGAAGGTATTTTTCTTTTGATTTGTGAAGGTTTGCCTCATTGTTTTCTATTTATGCATATATATTCAAATAGTGCTTTTATGATTAAATTTTTCCTTTGAGAATTCTTACTCATAAATACTTGACTGTGGTTTTAAAAGATCAAATTTTTTTCAGAGACAAATGTTTGACTTTCTCATGTGACTTTTAAATCATAGTACACACCAAAAGAGTAGATTTTTAGTTATATAGGGAAAATAAAATATTTGTCTCCTTTGCATCAACAAGTATTTGGAAAGTCTAATCTGCCTTCTGTAAGTAGGGGTGTTCATTATGCAAGGAGCCTTTACTGAAGATAAACTTGGTTTTTTAATTAATGTTTTTAGGTACCTTTTCTAATTTGTTCATGAATAAAGTATTTTCTTATAATGCCTTCTTTAATGAATAGTCATTAATCCAAATAATGTAGTTTACCTTTTTTCTTATGTAAAAGTCACTGTAGAGGTAAACAGATGCCTGGCACTAAAAAAAAAAATAGTTCTAGCCTGCCATGTTCAAAATGGAATGTGATATATAGGATGCTCAATGATCTTAAATATGATTACTATTTTTTCTTTGCGTTTTTAGACCTTTATAAATTTCATCTCTCCCAAAGTACTCTTGTAGAGATCTGCTAACTATACATGTGACAATATTGATAGCATGGATAAAGAGTTGATTAGGCCCACCTACTCCCTCTAAAAAGAAAAATATATAGCAAAACAGCTTAAATATCACAGGAAGCATATCATGCTTATGAAAATCTCTTAGATTTCCTTTGGCATTGCTGACTTGGACTACTTTCAAATCTTTTTCTTTCTACTATGGTATACTTAAAATTGTAAACCTAGACTTGTAATAGTATTGTCATTTTGGAAGCATTTACTAGAATGGATTTATAAAGTAGTTGTTTTTTTGTTTTGTCTCTTGTTTTTCTGAAATTTTGAGTGGACTAAGATCACTTAACAACATATAGCTAAGGGAGTTTCTATAATTTTGAGTTTTTGATGTAAAATTCTACTAGACATAAACTTTGTTCATGTAGTTATTTAAAACAGTCCATGTAAAATCTTGTCTAGAAAAACATTGAAAAGTGAAAATTCGAATCCTGATATTTCTACTTACAGTCTGTCTCTTTTGGCAAATGCTATTTGGCTACTAATGCCCTTACATTAATCAGGAGAAATTGTTCTTTTCCTTCTTGTTTTTGAATTGTTTTAAAGTAGACTTATAATCAGCTACCTTCCTCTGTTATCTTTTCATTCTCTAATTTTCTTCATATCCAATAAATAAATCTATTCACTTATGGTTCATTTTATTTTTGTTATGGTAAGTTTTTATGTGCATATACATTAGACAAGTTTATTAGCTTTCTTGTATATGTTTATATTTTAAGGAAAGTTATTCATTCTTTTCCATTGTCACCATCCAAAACAAGATTAATAAGAACTATTGTATACATTTCTTCTTTTTCAGTAAGTGAAAAGAAAAGTTAGTTTTCTTTTGAGGCAATTCCTGTTTGCAGTATTAACTTCTTAGGCAGAGCCCTTCTTTTCATAGTGATATTTCATCTTTTGACCAAAGTACAAACTTTCCTTGAGAAACAACTGTTCTTCTTCTGAATTTTAACTCACTTGTGTATTTAATGAACTGTGCATCCATTCTTATGCCAGAGTTTTAACTAAAGCAAAAAAGTTACTCTTTCCAAGTATTTCGTGGGATATTACTAATAATACTCAATTTGTTCTAGATCAGTGGATACCGGAACAGAAAGGAGGTATTTCTTACCTGATAATGTGTATGTGTTCCGATTCTGCTAATCCAGAAATCCAAATTGCATTTGTCGAAAATCATCTGTAGTTAGGGAGTCAACTCCCTATTTCAGTTGTTTCTGAAATTCAGTCCCTAGATGTGCTTTAGATAGGGTAGAATTTTTACCTCTTTCAGAACACTGCTAAAGAAGTTTTCAACTGGAACATAGTCTGAAGAAGCACTGAGAGCAAAAAATTCAGAGTGGTGATTGGCCACCTCTGTTTGATTGACAGGTTGCAGGGAGAAATCCATTCGTTCTGGATTAATGGAACTGGAAAACAGAAAACAGTTATCAGGTAAAAAAAACCTTTTCTTTAACCTTTGAAATTCACCATTTGAAAAATGAGTCAGACCACCAGGGAATTTATTACCAAAAAAAATGAATTTTGTAAGCAGTGATCTCTGTCTCCTAATTCCAAGAGTTATCAAAAAATCGCTACAGTTACTACATTTTGTCAGCCTTTGCAGAAAGGGCATGAATGGATGGAAATAGCTGAAATGTATGGCTTATTACATTTTAAGTCTGGATTAAAAACGTGAAGCAGACTTCGATGGGTGGGGGAGATTGGCGTTCTTTTATTTCCTGAATTGTGTATGGTCTGTGGATAAATAGGGTTCTTTGTTTTTCAGGGGTGTTAATCTGGCACTTTTCATGAATATTCACCAATTTTATTGTACTGTGCTTGTGCTTGTTATACTTAATCTTCACTTCATTAGGATATATACTTATACATCTTTTATCATAAAATTCTAATATTTTAGTGGGAATTTTCTGATTGTTGGTTAAATATATTTCAGATTGAAGGCCAAGGACATGGTGCAGTATTTGACTGCAAATGCTCTCCTGATGGTCAGCATTTTGCATGCACAGACTCTCACGGACATCTTTTAATTTTTGGCTTTGGGTCCAGTAGCAAATATGACAAGGTAGAGTATAATAAATATACATCATTTCCTTATTTTTCATCCATGGGTGCTTAGGAGTTGTATTGTTTTGAAGTGGGTGAAATCAACATTTTTTAAGTCAATAACCATATTTTAACTAGTCTGGTAATTTGTGTTTTAGAAAGGAAGGTGAAGATAGTTCTTAAAATATTACTGTTCTGTAATTAGGTAATGAGTCTGTTAGAGCAAACTAGATTTGAGTCTTTAAGAACAAACTATATATGAGTTCTTAACTTGGCATATCTTAACTGGAGATGAAAGATACTGTCCATGGAAAGGCTCTTTGAAATTATGTAAAATGTTTTATTTATGTAAATAATATACATTTTACCTAGGATATGAATTTTAACTTTCCTGTGATTCTCTAAAAATTTTATGACCCACTTATAGTAACTAATGTTTCTTGTTTTATTTTTACCAAAGATCTTGTCTTTAAAGTTAGTGGGTAAAAGAATTAATTATTTATTTGTTGTGGAGTTGTATAAAAGGTTAAAGAACAGCAAAATTTTAATTTGACATTACAAATTAACCAATAAAATTTTGATATCAGATGTGTTAGGGCTGAGTGCATATTAATTTTATATTACCACAAAAATTTTAGGGAAAATGCTCACTCTTAGAATATCTTGTTATGTTAGTTTTAATATTAATATTATAGAAACCATGGGGCTGAGGGTGTAGCTCAGTGGTAGAGTATGCACTTAGCTTTCATGGGACCCTGCATTCAATTCCTAGCACCCTAAATAAGTAAATAAACCATGCTTACTATATGCCTAAGGAATTAAGATATGGTAGCTCTGTGAATTGTATGGTTTATGCCTCGATTTGAGTTTACTATTACATTTAAAATTGAATAACTTATTTTTAAAGGTAGCTCTTTTTTAAAAAAAATTTAATTTGTTATATATGACAACAGAATGCATTACAATTAATATTACACATATATAGCACAATTTTTCATAACTCTGGTTGTACATAAAGTAGAGTCACATTTTTCGTGTCTTTTTATGTGTATTTAGGGTAATGCTTACCATCACATTCCACCGTCTTTCCTACCCCTGTGTTCTTTGATATATACAATCTCTACCTGTTCCAGAGAAAGCAGCCGCTTTTTCTGATCCTAAAATTTAATGTGAAAAATACAAAGTTTGCTTACAATTAATTCAAGAAAAGAAATTTTTTTAATTGGGCCAAGGCCTCACATGTGGGTGCTTAGCAGGCACTCCGCAACTGAGCTACATCTCCAGATCCAGAAAATGCCTTTAAATTGTTGCTTAATGCCATAATTTGTATTAAAATGTTTCTCATTAGAAATTTTGTAAAATCTTTATAATACTAAATTTTAATTTTTCCAGTCTTTTTTGAACCTTTTTTACAGATTGCAGATCAGATGTTCTTTCATAGTGATTATCGGCCTCTTATCCGTGATGCCAACAATTTTGTATTAGATGAACAGACTCAGCAGGCACCCCATCTCATGCCTCCACCATTTTTGGTTGATGTTGATGGTAACCCTCATCCATCAAGATATCAAAGATTAGTTCCTGGTCGTGAAAACTGCAGAGAGGAGCAACTCATCCCGCAGATGGGGGTCACTTCCTCAGGTAAGTGCTTATTTTTAGAGACAGCCAAATTTTTTTTTTTTCCACTGAAATATTTAAAAATTTCTCATTGAGTAAAACTTTGTTTTCAGGAAATGAAAAGTAAAAGTAGTGTTTTATATAAGTTTTTTTGAATAATGCATAAGAATTATTAGATAATTAAAATGGAGATTTAAGGCAATAATTTTGGTTCATATGTGCTTAGGTCTTCTGAAGACTAATAGACTTGTCCCTATATTTGCTGTGTGATGAATCAATTCAATTATTTTATTCATTAAGCAGCACTTATTGAGAATCTCCTTTGTTCCTGACCTGCTAAGCCTTGGATATTCAATAGGAAATTAAACAAATATGATCAGTGGTATCATAGAATGGGTTAGATAGATGAGTAAGCATAATTATAAACAAAGGCATGGTGAAAAATTGTGATTGATATTGTTGAAGGGAATAAAAGTATGTGAGAGAAGCTATAACTAGGTTGCCTATTCACAATGATGAGTATTTTAAGAAGTGGTCAACTTTTAAACGATTATGAGAAGTAACATAGGGTTGAAGAGTGTTGAGCTATTCAGTGAAGTAATAGAGTGTAAAAGTCAAATTGAACGGGAGTTAAAATAATGGAGATAAGGTCTACAGACTCCTCCTTATTTGACAAGTATAACACTGATTTATTAAGTGAAAATAATGGAGAAGCTCTATAAAGATTGAGCCAGTCATATCATTATGCATTGTTGTATTTTAAACTAGAACAGTTTGTGAAATGATTTTGTTTTAGACTAACATAATGGACAAAATCTCTAAGTGGATTTTGTGATGAGTAAATAATGAATTCACATTTTGTAAGCACAGTAAAATCACTCCCATTGCAATGTAGCAAACCCATCTTATTTTTTTGTAAAGGATTGGTTATGAAATTGTATTGAAGGTGGACATAATGGATAGAAAGGGCTGCTCTTGGAATGACACCTGCATGCCCACTTAGAATGGAGGGTAAGGAAACACATTAAAAGTATTGCCCTTGCTACCACTTGTACAGAGGAGTATAGACTTGATATCCTAAGTATGTGAAACTCATGTGCCTCAGCATATGGATACTGTATAAACTCAAAAGAATTGAGAACAACTAGTATTTGTCTAAGCAGATCTTCAGATTACAGAAGTCTCAGTATTAGAGAAGTATTGGTCATTGGACTGAAATCAGAAGAATGCCTTCAGTTTGTGGTACTGTAGTGGGCAAGAGTCAAATTTTGCTCAGGTCTCAAAATAGGTTTGTGGGCTGGGATTTCAGGCACAGGGAAATAAAGAAAGGACTCATTTATTATTAAAATATCAGTGCACTTTAATTATCATTGCTTTCTTTTTCTCCATTTAATAATATATAAAAAACTTTCATATATAATATTTAATCCTTCTATCTATAGTATTTTGATCCTTAAAGTTGACAAAATGAAGTTTAACAGTATTGTGTCATAGGATCACAGAGTAATAACCTTACCTCTGCTTCTTGGTTCATTGCTCTTTCTTTCACACCAAGCTATTCTTAGTGTATAAAGCAGACATGAGCTCAAAAATGAAAGAGAAACTAGTTTTTAATAGTGGATCACAGAAGAATCTTTAGCAGTAATTATGGTTTCATACTGAGTCACAAAATTTTTCAATGTTCTGATTTACAAAATTCAGAGTAAAAAAAACTTTACTATCATTATTTTGGATTTCTTAAGTATAAAAATAGAACAAAAGAAAATTTTTATTCAGAAATTCTGTAGCATCATTATGAACTATATTTCTATTTGCAAATCTAGATCAATAATAATTTTTGATTGAAATATAGATAAAAGTAAATCTTGTCTATTATAATAAATTAATTCGAATGCAGTTTTGTTGCATTGACACTGGATAGCACACTTTTTATATTTCCTCAGTTGTAAATTTGATATATGCCCAATTACTCATCAATATTCAAACATGACTTGTTTTCCCAACAGCAAATCAGGAAAACACATATGGATATTTCAGCTTTGCCTCTGAGCTTTTACAATTTTCTAACCTTGTGATGTGGATAATTTTATTTTATTGAATTATAGTTTTCTCCTATAAAATGAAATAGCAGGTCTGGGGTTATGGCTCAGTGGCAGAGTGCTTGCCTTGCACATGTGAGGCACTCAGTTCAATCCTTAGCACCACATAAAAATAAGTAAACAAAGATATTGTGTCCATGTATAATTAACAAAAAAATTTTAGAAAATGAAATATCATATGCTTAGTACATGTAATTTTTCTTTCCTTGTACCTTTCTTACACCACTACATTTAAAATATTCTTCTGTCTTCCCAATTTAAGCCCAATCTAAAATTCTGCTGCAATTAAGTTTATATGCCTGCACATCGAATATTAACTGCTCCTTTCTTTACTCCCATGACATTTTCATATGTCTTATATTCTTATATTTTATTCAGCATCATCAAAATTTTTTTTATATATATAGCATTGTATTATCTTTAGAAAATATTAAGATTCTTAAAAGACAGTACACGTTTTTAAGGAACTAACTATTGCCCAAACTTTCCTTTATGTTACATACTAGGCTGATTACTAAGATATGTATAGATTGGTATGAAATTGAAAGAGGTTTGCAGCTAATTCTATCAAGAGGTATTTTGGGAAGATTTTATGGAGTAAATATGAAGGTTGCTTTTTAGTTGACGCTTGAAGGAGGAGTTAAGATTTTATTATGTTTATCCTTAACAGTGGAAATTCTGTGGTCAAGTAGTATTTTCTGTTAGAAAGATAGAAGTGTCAGGTGGTCCTCTGTGATTATTATGGGTAAAAGTTGATGCTAGAAAAGTAGGATGAATCAAAATACACAGAATTCTTTTGGGTCTTAGAGCCTTTGGACTTGTTGCGTACTATCTGGAGTGAACTTTTTCTAGCTTTGCACATGGCTAATTTAAGTCTCAGTTAAAGCATTAACTTCTTAAAAACAACTTCTGTAAGTTCCAACTCGACACAGATATTACCCATCTCTCCCCATACCCACCCTTTCTTAAGAGTCTTATCACCCTCTTTATTTTAACATCTTTCACAATATGCATTTATCTGTAGATATATTACTTACTTTCCACATCTGGATGTTAGCTCCTGCAAGGTGGGGATCTTGACATTTCTTACTCACCACTGTATCCCCAGTACTTACCATAGTTACTAGCACAAAGTAGACAGTCAAAAATTTGTTGCATAAATGAAGCAGTAAAGTTCTTTTGAGAACATAGGTAATGAGATCTTTTTTTTTTTTTTTTTTTTTTTTAAGAAACTGTGCTCTAAATAGAAATTTTACTTTTGCCACTTCCTTGATGTATGAGTTTTAATAATTATTTTAGTTTTTGTTGTCTTTAACGTAGAATTAATAATACCTTCTTTTTTTTTGGGAGAATTTTTTTTTTTTTAATTGGTTGTTCAAAACATTACAAAGCTCATGACATTCTTGATTAAATTAACAATTATGAGTGCCTGGATCTTGGTAAATACATAGTAAAAGCAGTTATTATACTCACTCTAATCATTACCTTTAATGGACTAATATGGGGGTATGTATGTGTGCACTCATCTCTCACACACTCTTTCTCTTGCTGTCTCTCTTTTTTCTTTCTTTCTTTGCTTTACTCTTAGCATTTATAGTTGTTAATTTTAGGTCTTTTAACCAAACAAAATTTACATTTAATTATAGATTCCAAGGTTGATAAGTAAAATGGTTTGAAGAGTTTCTGAAATATTCTTAATATCTTTGTGCTTATTTTATAGGATTAAACCAAGTTTTAAGTCAGCAAGCAAACCAGGAAATCAGTCCCCTGGACAGCATGATTCAAAGACTACAACAAGAACAAGACCTCAGACGTTCTGGTGAAGCAGGTATTGGTAACACCAGTCGCTTGAGTAGAGGTAAGCAAAAGTTCTATTTTAAGTGAAATATTTTAAATTCTGAAATATGTTACATCTATAAAATGAAATATTGGGCTGTCAAATGGTCATGTTTTTGTACATAGTTTAATGTTCTGAAAATGTTCATAATATGAAGCTTTAAATTATAGATACTGATTTTTTTTTAATGTGTGTATTTTTTCAAGTTTTCTGTAATAAAACATTAGAAATGAGTGGTTTTTGGGGGCGGGGTGCAGTGCTTTGGAATGAACACTTAGTCTTGCACATGCTGTGCAAGTGCCTTATTACTGAGCTATATTCCCAGCCACATTTTCAATAGCTCATCACCCTTATTGTTGCTTTTTATAAAGCTTGAAAAAGCCAAAACAAATTACTGAACCATAAATGTCCTTCAGTTTGATTTTGCTTCTTATGAAGTAATGATTTTTACTTATAGTGCTTGGGTCTTAACAGTTCATACTTAAGATTCATTGAATTAACAACTGAAAAACCATAACCATATTTTGTTTTTATCAACCTTTTGTCTGTGATTTAGCAATTTAATTAGTGGTTATAATATTGTGTTTCATATGAACAATAGAACAATTTTGACTCTTTTTCTCCGGTTACAAACTAATGGAGAAGTATGACTAAATAGAACTTACCATACTAATTTTTTTTTTTTTTAAACTTAGGATCTGTAAGTTCTACCTCAGAGGTACATTCACCACCAAATGTAGGACTAAGACGTAGTGGACAAATTGAAGGTGTACGGCAAATGCATAGCAATGCACCAAGGAGTGAGATAGCCACAGAGCGGGATCTTGTAGCATGGAGTCGAAGGGTGGTAGTACCTGAGCTGTCAGCTGGTGTAGCCAGGTAAGGGAATTGTTAATTTGTATATACCATAGTTGCTTGCTTTCATTTTGAATTATAGTCTTTAAAATATCTTTTCAGCCTTATAATTTTTTTAAACTTATCTGAAAAGCTAGTATTTTAAGCTATTTCTGACTGTAGAAAAATTTTTAAATATGTTCATTTCAGGAGTAAGTCATGTAAGTGGTATGAGATGGAATGTGCCAAGATAAATGGAAGGAAAAACCCATTAATTTGAACTTACCAAACAGGAGATTTTATTGAGTAGCATAAGATTGATATATAAATCTTAGTTTGTCTTATTTATATCTTAAACACATTTTATATACTTGTTATTATTTGGGATTTTTAATGAATTTCACGAATTATATATATCATATTATTCAGAGGCATAAAGAAAAACCATTTACTGGAAAATATATAACTATCTTGTATATTAAAATTTTTAAATTTTAAAATATGCATTTATGGATTAAAATTGATTTGACATAATCCTCTTCTCATACTATGGGGAAATAAAATATTCATGAATGAGGTCTTTATGAATCTAAGTTAATACTGACTTGAGAATTGGATTTTAAGACTTTCTAGTTCTTAAAATCAAAATATAATAGTAATTATATAGTTAACATTTTTAGATTTAATCATATAGGTTAAGCTTTTTGATTGGACAATACTTAGAATTTGGGGATTTAGGATTAAATATCTACCTAAGATATAAATGTGAGTAGTAACTTATATTATGATACAGATGTCCTTAATAAAAAGTTAACTAACTCATACATTTTTAGTTGGCTCCTTTCTCAGTTTTTAATTCTAATGTTGAAAGGGGGTCTAATAAATAACATCAACTTTTCAATATGAATTCTGAACTAACTGAAAAATAATAGAGGCGAATAAGACACATAGGAAATCAGAATGTTACTTTTTATTTCTGGTACAGTTTTGAAGGATGTGACTTTTATTTGCAGGAGACTATGCTTCTTAATACTAAACCTGAAACATAAATAGCCAATGGTCATCATATTTTTCTTTCTATGAGACATTTGGTTTATCTGTTTGTTTTGTTTTGTTTTTTTATACCAGGAATTGAACCCAGGGGCACTTAACCACTGAGCTACATCCCTAGCCCTTTTTTATTTTTTTATTTTTAGACAGGGTCTTACTAAGATGTTGAGGCTGGCTTTGAACTTGTGATCCTCCTGCCTCAGACTTCCAAACCACTGGGATTGTTTGCTTCTTGAAAGTGCAAAGCAGAATATATACATTGCAATTAGTTGCACAGGGCTGGGCCATCCTAATCTGGATTTTCCTTCTAGAGCATACCAGTTAATTAGTAGATGCTTCCCCTGGAGAGGAATGAGTAAAGAGGTATGATTGCTCACTTGCCTGAAGTTCTGCACATGGAAGGAAACTTGAGAAATAAAGATATTTCTCTTTAAATACTCTACCCTTTTATCTCTTTACCATTGTATTTAACCATTAAGCCCAAGGTCAAGCAAGGCTCTGGCTTTCTCTTTAGAGGTTATTTTTAGTTTGGCTTTCCTAGATCTTGTCCCTAACACTTTCTTTGGGGATCTTTTAGAATTTGCCCCTGGTAGCTAATTTAAAGTTTGATTCTAAAAGGCTCTTAAATAAACCAGACTAATTATTGTGAATAAAATTAAATACAAACACATATTTTTTAAAAAGGGGCTAATATCTTTAACATTATAAATAACTCTTAAAGTTCAATAATAAATAATACAATCCAGTCAGAAAATGGGTAAAAGACATGAACAGACCTTTTACTTAAGAGAATAGCTAATAAACACCTGAAAAGATATTAAAATCATGAGCTACTAAGGAAATTTTACTGCATACCTATCTGGCGAAAATTTTTAGTGACAGCACAAAAAGCTGGGGAAGATATAGAGAACCGTTGGATTCCTTAAGAATTTTTTATGAGAATATAAAATGGTAGAGCCTCGCTGGAAAACTGGTCAGCACTTTCTTAAAAACCTAAATATGCCTTGTAACCTAGCTATTGCTTTTTTGTTACTTTATCCAAAAGAAACGAAAACTCATGTTCACACAATAACCTATATACAAGTATAAACAACTTTCTTTGTAAAAGCCCCAAAGCCAGGAAAAAGTTCAGATGTACTTCAGTGAGTACATGGTTTAATCAACTATACATCCACACTGTGGAATACTACTTTGGTATAAAAAGGAAAAACCCATTGATACATAAAACAATCTTAAAAGGTTGTATAGTGTATGATTCCATTTATGGAGCATTTTTTAAGATTATGAAAGAGAGATGAAGAATAGATTTGTAGTTGATAAGATTGTGGGGGGAGGCAGGGCTGAGGTGGGTTTGATTAAGAAAAGGACACCACAAGTAATCTTCCTGCTGATGGAAATGTTCTGTATATTGACTGGTGTGATGGATTTTCGAATGTACACTTATGATGAATTTTCATAGAACAAACACAAAGAAGTAAATAGAAATTAAAGTGAGAAATCTGAATAAGATTAGTGTGTTATCAGTATCAGCATTCTAGTTGTGCTGTTATACTATGGTTTTACAAGATTGAGGGGAACTGAATAAAGGATACAAGAAATATCTCTGAATTATTTCTTATAATTGTATCTGAATCTGGGAATATTTCAATACAAAGTTTAATTAAAGAACAAAGAAAAGTTAAATCCAAAGCCTGTCATTTTCACAAGTTTAAAATTCACTCATTTTCCCTTTATTATTATGATGAGACACATTGGAAAAGTTGCTGTTAAGTAAAATAACATTGATATCTAGTCATAAAGTTTCAGCAATATATAGGTGCTCTGCGTTTGAATATTAAATCCTTTCCTATTATGAAAACTCCTGGGAGAATTGAAAGTTCAAAGATTCAATACCTTTGCACCTCAAAAACTTTGAAGTTGTAAGGAATGAAAGTGAAAAAATAACATTCTTGTCTCTGTGAGTTCAGATTTCATGAAATCAAAGTTTAGAATTAATATCCCTCAACTTTTTCTGTTCAATTTCATCTTGATGCCTGGATAGAGTTTTTTTTTTTTAGTAAGTCATGCCTAACTTGGGTCTCACTGGAAAGAAAATAATGTCTTTCAGAGCTTAAATTAGTTCAACCTTAAGATTCTGTTGAACCTCAGTTTTAAGGATTCCAGCTATCTGTGTGGTGTACAAGATTATCAAAAGTACAAATCCTATACTCAATTTAAAAAACAGAAAGTCCAGTTTCTAATCCTTAGGATACTTACCCTAAGAATAACTGTGGTCGCAGAATCTAATACTTGATTTGCCAAAGACCACAGCAGAAAAAGTTTTTCTTGTAGTCTACATCTTATCTTTCCAGTATGCCAGTCATTTAATGCTAGATGTCCTGAGCCTATGACTTAAGAATTTAAACTCAGAACTTTATTGCATGCTTCCATTCAGAAAGAAAATATGAGTAGCATTCTTTCTCTAAAAGCTATCATTCCTTTTGGGGAAAAATCAATTGCGAAATTAACATGTATAGTTTTTAATATTCTCTTTCAGTCGGCAGGAAGAATGGCGAACTGCAAAGGGAGAAGAAGAAATAAAGACTTATAGGTCAGAAGAAAAAAGGAAACACTTAACTGTTGCAAAAGAGAATAAAATACTTAGTGTTTCAAAGGTAAATATTAATTGCTTTGATGTTTAATAATTTGCTGTGTAAGTATGATGACCTTTTTTTTTTTTTAATTGGTTGTTTTTAGATATATGGGGTGTATTTTGACACATTATACTTACATGGAGTGCAGCCCATTCCAATTTTTATCCCATTCTTGTGTTTGTGCGTAATGGGGAGTTATACTGGTGATGACTATTTTAAGACCCCCTTTTTAATTACAAATGTTAATACTCTAAATGGGATAATTAATGAAATAAAATTATGTAGTTAACTCCTGATTATCTCTTTGTATCTATGGCTTACCATTTAATTTTTTAAATTCTACATTTCCTGCCTTCTAGCATGCCATTTCTTCAGATGCCAATTTGTATATATACTCATTAAATCTAATAAATTATAATCTGCCTAAACATGAGCTCTTTAGTTCAGTCTTGGCTGCATATTCTAGAGCAATGTTTTGGGGTTTTTTTCTTTGTTATATCTTTTTGTTTTCACTTATTTGTTATTGTAAATAATCGTGTCTGCTAATACTGCCATAAAAGTTCTTAGTTTTCCCATTAAGAGGGGCAGATTGTCCCTCTTTTTCTGCCAGATTCTCTGTTATCCTACCCTGGCAAAATTTTTGGATCCAATGAATTTCAGTTGGTCATGCCCTAATCAGAGAGAGATGTCAGTACTTTATTGTCAAGGAATCATAAGAATCTATTGTCCTGCCTATTTTGCCCTTAGTTAGCTTGAAAATCTTTGGGTCTAAAATCAAGGAAAATTATATGAAACTTTAAGTCCACGTTACCACCTAAAGAACAAAGTTAACTGATTTTCTGACCCAGCTCACAGTGACTTAGTTTAATTGGAAATATATCAAAATTTTAAAGTGAATAATCCAGACCTCATATGGCACCCTAATTGTTGAGGACTTGAATTTTTTCATTTTTCTGATACTCCTGGATTTGACTCAGGCCTCAAACTACCAACATCCTCATTTAAGGTCATAGGATGGATGATCAAGAGAGGAAGTTGCAAAGGGCCACGTGTGTTCTCCTGAGGAAGGCTGTTTGATGTTGCTCAATAATATTGTACCAGATTCCTCATTGGCCAAAAGTGTAGCCACATGAAAGCCCAATAAATAAAGCAAATTATTTTTGTTTTGTTTTGTTTTTTTGTTTGTGGGAAAGGGAAAGAAGTAATATTGGTTGACAGCTGGCTTTCTCCTTCACTGCATCATGTATTGAGGCATTTAAAATGTTTATGTTCTTTGATTTGGAATTTATTTTATAGAAGTGGGTATTATGGATAAAGCTTTAAAAATTCAGTAAGAATTTTTAATGACACAGATTTGAGTAAGTAGAAATGTTTGTTATATGAAAGAAAAAAGATATATTAAATTCTTAAAAGTTGATTGGTCAAAATTAGTGACATTGTCATTGAACATTATTTTCTTTTTATACCTTTATGTATTTCCCCAAATTTCTATAAAATTATGAAACCATTTAGTAATTCTTTTACAGATGATCTATGTGGAGTAAATCTTGTATCCTTGTATATGAATATTTATTTCATTCTCAGTTGTGATAGTATTTTTTTTTAACTTCAAGACTGATTTTTTTTCTATAATTTTCTACAAAATTCTACTTACATATTTCATGGATATGTTACTTTCTTATTTGCCTTTGAGATTGCTTTATTAACTTATTTTTTCAGATGCATATTCTTGTTTGTTGAGTTAATCTCTGTCACTGTGTGGATTTTGTCAGGTGTTTCATTATTGCTTGTTTTCTCATCTATGACAGATGACCTCTCGGATTTATCTCCAGTAAAAGAAACATAGACAGGATAGTTTTGGTTTTTAAAAATCACTGTTTTGTTTTCCATTTGGCCTCTGCCTGTTATATGTGCCCCATAGTCCATTGTTCTTTTTTTTTTTTTTAATCAGTTCTATAGATTTGGTGTAAGTACAAAATAAAGAGTTCACTGTTTGTCTTAGTCTTATATCATGAATCTTCACATCACTTACTTGGAAAAAAGATATTTTAAACTTATTAATTAGCAAGTAAATTTCAGTGTATTATCTTGTGATTTAACTTGATGTAATGTTGAAATATATAGTTCATACTATAATCTAGTCCATTTCCATGATATATATGAATGAGTTCTTTAATAATGAAAAAATGAACTTTTAAATTAAGAAGTCTATTCTTTAAGCATACTATGAATAAATTTCATTTTATTTTTTTCAGAATCATGCTCATGAGCATCTCCTGGATCTTGGGGAATCCAAAAAGCAACAAGCAAATCAACATAATTATCGTACAAGATCTGCACTGGAAGAGACTCCTAGACCATTGGAGGAGATAGAAAATGGCACTAGTTCTTCAGATGTAAGATCTCAGCACTTTGATAACTTCCATGATTGACTTCTGGGCATGGCATATATATATTCATAATCTTAAATCCATAAAACAAATCATATTATGTATGAGTTCTGAGGTTCAAAGGTGTTTAGAGTTCAGATCCATCTAACTATTAAATGGTATAGCTGGGATTAAATGCAGATTCCCTTTACTTTAATACCAAACTTTTAAAATAATACCATGATGCACTTGTATAATGTAACTATAAGAATGAATCAATAGGTTTTTGACAGTTTTGGTTAGTTTTTAATTATGGTAACCGTTTAAAGCCTTGATGGGTATGTGTGCATGTATATTTTTTTTTAGTATTCGTCATTTATAATTGCATCCATAAATTTGTCCCTTCTAAAATATACATTCTCTTAGCAAAGGCAATCAGTTTGTAGTCACAAAACCAATCTTATTTAGTACTTAAAACCATGTCCCTAACCTTTCTTCCCTCATCATCACTTCTCTTCCCCTTAATTAAGTCAGGGTTTCAGAGATGTTGACAGCTATTCACTTTTGGAGCAGTGTTTTATCAAGTGGTGTTAGACATTATGAGAATTCTCTAAGTATATTCTCTATGAACACGGTAAGCTGTGAACAGTGGCATGGACCTGTAATTTTCATAACTCTTTGGAATGGTCCTAATTCACATTTTTCATTAAGACATCAAAATGGGAAAACTTTCCTCCAAAATATATCATTTTATTTAAATCACAAATGAATAATACATCCCATTATCCTCTTGAAGAATGATCCAAATATGCATACCAAGTTTTAACTGTGAACCATAATAGAAAGTTGTCTTAGCTTTGGAATAAAATAATCTGGCTTCAAATTAAGCCTTACTGCTTACTAGTTGTGCTGCCTTGGGCAAATTTCTTAACCTTTTTAAGCTGTAGTTTCTTATATTAAAGCTGCTTCTTACCACCAACACAGTTTTGTTGAGACAAAATGGGACGATATAGACAAAAGTGCTTGGAGCCATTTCTGACATACAGTAAAAGCTTAATAAATATAAAGGGCTATTGTTATTGGAGCTTAAAGTTTATTTGAGCAAAGAAGTTATATAAGATTTTGTGACCAAAAACCTGACTTTTTTGAAGAAAATGTCTTCACTAATTAATATTTACTAAGGAGAAGTAATGTCTTGCTATTTTTTAATCTTTTTCCATTTGGATAAGAGATGGATTATCCTGTTTTGTATGATAAAACTATTTTAATAATATTAGGCAAAACATAATGTGCCTAACTTTAATGTTATGAAAGTATATACAGAAAAAAATTCTTAATTTTTAAAGGCCCAGAAAGTAGAAATTAATTTCAAATATAAACTGGAATTTGATATCTTTCAATTTAGAAGATATGAAGCTTTTAAAATGTTGATTATCTGAGTTTTCTGAATCTAGTATTATTGAGTATTATGTCTTCATATACATTAATTGTCTTACTTTTTTGAGTAAAATTAAGCTGTATTAAGGTTTTAATTTAAATATTCCAACATCATTAGTATTTTGTCATTGATATTCTATAATCACAGCATGTTATTTCCTAAAATGATTTAATAAAATATGTCTTCAATATCTTAGGAAGGTGAAGTGGTTGCTGTCAGTGGTGGAACTTCTGAAGAAGAAGAGAGAGCATGGCACAGTGATGGCAGTTCTAGGTAAATGAACTTTGATTTCTCCAAATATTATTATAAAATCACTAGAAAGATGTAAAATTTTTTCCCATTAGCAGGACATTTCAAAAACTCTTTAAAAGTTTTCTTCAAAGATTCTTTCAGTCTTTCAAAATTTAGGAAATTTTTTTCTTTTCCTATTTTCTCTATAGAAATATTTTTTTGGAAAGTGCAATTAGATATGCAAAATGATCCATTTAACTGCCTACTTGGTATTGTATCTTCTGAATGCTATTATGTATAAACTGAATTATATGCCAGTTTTTAATTACTAATTTTTGTTTTGTTTTGTTTTTTTTGTACCAGGCTTTGAACTCATTGGCACTCAACCACTGAGCCACATCCCCAGCCTTTTTTTGTATTTTATTTAGAGACAGCGTTTCACTGAGTTGCCTAGCACCTCGTCATTGCTGAGGCTGGCTTTGAACTAACAATCCTCCTGCCTCTGCCTCCCGAGCTGCTGGGATTACAGGGTGTGCCATTGCACCCGGCTTATTACTGATTTTAAGACATGTTTAAGCATAAAATTATGAAAGTAACAAGATCTTATAGAGTTAACTATCTTATATAATGGAATTTATTGAATACTATCAATAAATTCTCTTCTAGCAATGGGAATAAGCTTTTTTCTATTATTTGCATCTCATTTGATCATGTAAGTGAGGATTGCTTTGATATTGGTGGTTCACATTGTTAAAGGACTGATGGCCACAACTGACCTTGTAAGGCAAGAAAGAATAAATGCTTGGAGAATGATAATTATTCCCACCTCGGTGGCTCTTAAAATAAAAGTGCCAAGAGAAGCATTAAGTGAAAGCTATAAGAGTTACTTTTATTAATCCTAGAATTGAGGACTTTCCAATTTCCACAGATGCATGTGGTTATATCTAACCCGAGTTTGAAACATTTCAGTGAAGGAAATTTTTTGCTTTGTTTTTGCTCAGCAATGCAGATGAATATCTCAAACCAAACATAGTGTGTTGTATTGAGTGCTTTTGGCTTTAGCAGTTGAGGACATTTGTTATAGAGAACAGTCAGTCTGGCATTTGTAGTTATACTGGCAGAAGATACTCTGTAAGAGCTGAGTACTGCTGAGGAGCAACTTGAGATTTGGAATGTGCCATTTATAGTGGCAAAGAGTGGACTCAATGTAAATAAAATGCTCATAAATAAACTGAGGCAAGCCTGTTTTAGAATGTAGTATCTGAAAACATTTTTTATTTAAATTCTTAAAAATCATTTTAAATTTCATAATAAAATCATACTAACAATATTTTAGTTATGATTTTTACCTGGGATGATTTTTTATTAAATTATTCAAAACAAAGTAGTTAAATATTCTCACATACTAAAATTAAAACAGAAGATAACATATCTAGGTTATTTTGCCATAACATCACTTTAGTAAGACAGGTCTGAAAGGTAACAGAAAAGAAATGGCAAATATGATATATAAGTGAGTAACACCTATATTTCTCTGAATCATAGCATGCTTTGAAGCATAAGATGTTCCTAAGATGTAGAGAGGTAGAATAATCTTACCTACATGAAATATCATTTCTTCACATGCAAAGTAAAGAAATTTTGAAGATAATTTGAAAATTAAGAAAATATTTTAGATCTTTAAGTGTGTACTATTCTGTTATTCCTTTTTCTGTTATAATCTTTCCCTTTTTATTAAGCAAAGTCTTAAACTATATGCTCTATTTATATTTTGGAAATCCCTTCTTTTTTCTTAGTGACTACTCCAGTGATTATTCTGACTGGACAGCAGATGCAGGAATTAATTTACAACCACCAAAGAAAGTTCCCAAGCATAAAACCAAGAAAGCAGAAAGCAGTTCAGATGATGAAGAGGAATCAGAAAAACAGAAGCAAAAACATATTAAAAAGGAAAAGAAAAAAGTAAATGAAGAAAAAGATGGAGCAACATCACCAAAGAAAAAGAAACCCAAAGAAAGAAAACAAAAGGTTGATTTTAGAAATTGTAAATTTGTGTTTTCCTTTATGAAAATGACTTAAAGTGTGCATTTTTAAAGCGTAGTTGAACTTAAATATCATTAACCTTAATGATTTCTGTTAGCAAGTAATAATAGAAAATACTCAAATGTATAAAGTATACCAAAATACATCTAGGTTACACAAGTTTTTAGATGTTTAACATGTAATAGGGTTTACTCACAAATATAAGTAAATATTGAGCATTTAATTTTAATACAGGAACAGATTTTTTTTCTTGATAATCTGATGGGACTTACTTATATATTTTTGTAAAAAAACAGTTGCTCTAAAACAAAGTATATTTCTACTTAATTGAATTCATGTTTAACCACTCTAATTGCTAAAAATAAACAAATTCTAGGGAAAACATCACATAATAAAAAACAGAACTTGTTATAGTTGATCACAAAGCAAATATGAATTCAATGCTGAATTTTTAAAATAGGCTTGTTGTAACACGTCTTCATTAACTTACCTAGTGTGTGAGCCATAATTTTTTCGTCCTCTGGTGAGAGGAGTATTGATTTGTTAAGTCTGTGGATAATTCGAGAGAGAGCAAAGAAAGTAAAAAAAAAAAAAAAAAAGTATTATGGAAAAAAATTATCTGCTCTTATGGAGTTGAAATTCTCTAACCAGGGAATGAATATAGCGACTGTTTTAATTTTTGCTCCAAACTACATGTAGTATGAGGGCCATGTTGTCTGCTCTCTAAAATACTATAATAGGGAATCATATTTGGTTGAGTTTGTGTTTATTTCAGCTTTATAATTATGAATTACTTTAATCTGGATTCCATAGCTATTATTTTTGTCACTTTCTTTGTCCTTTGTTTGGGCAATCTTTACTGAAGAGAATGCCACATTTGCCCATACGTAGGTTGGTTTGTTTTGTATTTGTGAGTGATGATAAATATATTCTGAGTTGTTGTTTTATGTGATAGATTGGTTAATGAAATTGATTTAGCCATGTGTCTGGCTAATAAGGTAAATAATCTTTTTCATCAGTTTTGATGAACTTTTGAGATCTGCCAATAATATATCATAGAAAGAATGTAATTCTTTGGTCCCAAGAGCACAGGTTGCATTATCTGGTCTTTCTTAGTTTGATAGTTATCCACAAACTAATATTGTGGTTTCCTTCATGCATGGTCACATTTGAATCTTCTGTTTACTGTTTGGCATATTTTCATTTCACTGTTTTGCTGTGACAAAGTATCATGACAGGAGCTGTGCATGGAACACACTTTATTAAGGTTAAGATGCTATAGCTTATTGTCTTGAGTTTGAATTTTTGTTCACATGTCTACCAGTGCATCCGCAATAGATGGAACTATTTTATTGCTTAATCTTTAACTTAAATAACACAATAGTATTTCTATTTATTTTTACATATTTACTTTTGAGGTGGAGTCTTGCTATGTTGCCAAAACTAGGCTTGAATTGGCAATCCTGTCAGCCTCTGTAACTAGTTGGGATTATAGGTGTGTGCCACCAGGCCTGGCTTAGTATTTCCCTTATGCAGAATTACAGAGTTAAGAAGTAATGTTATTACATGTGTGAACAAACAAAAATATTTTCCCATAAGGCTAATTCTTTTATAATTAAGCAAAAAAGGGAGAGGTAATAGAAAATAATAATTAAAACTAAAATTCTTCAGAGATGTAGTAAACATATCTTAGGTGATGTACTCTCATAACATATATACATGTATTTCTCATGTCATTTGGAGCTCTGTATATTAGTCAATAAATATTTATTACAGTTTATAAAATAATATGATTTAAAAGGAAATGTAAAACATAGTGTTTATTCCAAAAATTATGTGGCCTAACAAGATGCTTCAGTGCCCTAAGATAAAATAGAGGAAATGTTATGTGGTCTAATAATATATTTCATTGAGATGTTTATTATAGAGATAACTCAAAAATTGAATGGGAGCATTTTTTTTTTTTTTTTAAAGCAAGGTTTAAATATTTTTTTGTTATAGGTAACACCTTTATTAATTTTTATGTGGTGCTGAGGATCAAACCCATTGCCTTATACATGTGAGGCAGGTGCTCTGTCACCTGAGCCACAATCCCAGCCCAAATGGGAACATCTTAATGTTAGGGTTTCAGAGAAGATCTCCTAGAATAAAAAAGGTTTGAGTTGGGCTTAGAAGAATTTCCATGAGTGAAGAAGATAAGGAATCGGTTAACTATACCTCCCCAAGTAAGAAAATCTCAAATCATGAAGCTGGAAAATTTGAGAAATACTCAATTTTAGCACCACACACCGGCATTAAAGTCTTCAACACATATGCCTTTAGGGATAACAGGGTCTAACTGTAATATACTTAGTGAATAACAAAGTGACTACTTGATAACTGTTCACAAATCATATAACTGTTTGGATATGATTTGACTTAATAATGTATCTCAAATCTAGTATATGCAAAACTTTACTTCCCAAGCTTTCTTCTCAAATATGCTCTATTCCACCATCACACTGATGACAACTCCTGTCTTTTGAGTTTTTTTATTCCAAAATTTCTGAAGTTATCCTTAATTCCTTTTTTTTTTTTTTTTTTTTTCTGTTATGTTCAACATCCATTCTAGCAGGGAATTAATCTGGCCCTGTCTTCTAAATTTATTCAGTATTTAACTGTTTTGCACCACTTTCACTGTTATTACACTGGTGCAAGCCTCCATGAACTATTGTGTTACTACAATAGCCTCCCATCTGTTTTCTGCTTCTACCCCTTTTTTCCTAGGTCTAGTCTCTAAAGCAGGGGATGATAAACTTTTCCATATAAGGCCAGCTACTTCACCTTTACAGACTTACAGCAGCCATAAATAATCCATGAATGAATGGGTACAGCTGTATTCTGATAAAACTTGATTTATAAAAACAGTTGGCAAACTGAATTTGGACTGTGCACCATGACTTGCCAATCCCTGTTTTAATGAGTACATAGTTATGCTCTTCTACCTAAAATTCTCTACCTACAATTCTCCAATGAACTCATCTCCCATATAGGAAGTATGAAAGACCTTTACTTCTCCCTTATTCTCCAAGATGAGAATGCTCCTGATGTGTTTGAGAATCATGATAGTGTGATTAATAAAAAGAGGAAAATGTGTAATGGGAAACAATTATAGTAGTATCTGGCAGTACTCGGCATTGTGATGTGCACTAAGTTCCCAGTTACTTGGGAGGCTTAGATAGGAGGTTCACAAACCAGGGCCAGTCTGGACAATAGTAATTAAAAAAAAAAAAAGTTAAAAAAAATTACCTGCTTCCAGTAGTGTTCATAATCATAATCTGTGGTATTGCTTCTTTCAGTAAACATTCCATTAACTCATAGTGGTAACTACTTTGTTTAAAAAAAAAAAAAAAAAACTCAACAGAATGAAATTTACAAGTCTTAGAGCATATACACTGAACCACAACAATTTAACTCAGTTGCATAAAGTTTCTCTAGTTATAATAGTAGGTTTCAAAGGCTCTTTGTCCATTTTTACTAAGTCTAAGGAAGCAATAAAAAGACTGTTAAGGCTGCTTGTAGGTGTTCAGCAAAGTTTTTCAGAAACCCTTTTCTCAGAGACATAGTTTTACTTTTATCCATCAAAGTTAAAAAGTAAGGGACATGGCTTAACATTTCATTTGGGGTCAGGGGAACTCTGATTTTCTTTTTTGGAAGGAGCTTAACATGAGCCAAGAATGAAATTGCTGTTTAAGAAAGGGAGAGGAGGGCTTATAACTCAGTATAACTCAGTGGCAGAGCACTTACCTAGGATGTGTGAGGCTGTGGGGTTTGACCCCCCCCCCCCAATACCGCAAAACAAAAAAAAAGGGCAAAAGAAGGGGAGAGGAACATCCTCGGGCTGTTCAGAAATATAATGTCAAGCACATGGAAATAATTAGCTTTCTGTATCTTATAGGAATACTTAACCCATATGAGAATATCTTATAATTTCTAACACTAAAAATAGGATTTTTTAAAATTCAAATTATGTCATAATTTGTTATAAGTAGTGTTTGTAAAACTGATACTTTTTTTAAAATTTTAAGTTGTTGATAGACCTTTATTTTATTCATTTATTTATATGCGGTCCTTAGAATCGAACCCAGTGCCTCACACATGTAGGGCAAGTGCTCTACCACTGAGTTACAACCCCATCCCAAGACTGATAGTGTTTTTAAAGGGAGGAAACCAACACAGAGCTTACACTTCAGGGTTTGTGGGGATGTCTTATATGAATGTCGTCTATAGATTTTGATTTTCCTGTCTAGTTTTTGTCAATGATTTGGATTAATTGAATAATTGTTGCTGATGCCACCGTTTTTTCTAGAGTAGATTTTTAATGTTTAAAGAAAACAATTTTTGTACGAAAGTCCTTTTCTTTAATGATCTCTATTGTGCTTCTTTGGATAATATTACTTTATAATGTTCCAAATTTAGAGATTGGCTGTGGGAGAACTAACTGAAAATGGTTTGACATTAGAAGAATGGTTACCATCAACATGGATTACGGATACTATTCCCCGAAGATGTCCATTTGTGCCACAGATGGGTGATGAGGTACTTTTAAACTTTTTAATTATTCTTTGTTTTTTGTTTTGCTTGTTTGTTTGAGTAATAACCTGGAACATTTTATAGTTCTTGAAACACAACTATAGAAGATTACAACAGGTTTATACAAATAACTCATTCACAGCTGTGTATGGAGAAAGTACATTTAAGGGGAAAGGGTTAACAATAATCTTTTTTAAGACTGCTATAAATTTTTTATCATCTAAATATTATAAGAGAAAGGAAGCTTTGTTGACATTTATTGCCAGGTGTGGTGGCACGTGCCTGTAATACCAGCAACTTAGGAGGCTGAAGCAGGAGGATCACAAGTTCAAGGCCAACCTGGACAATTTAGCAAGACCTTGTCTCCAAAAAAAAAAAACGTTGAGGATGTAGTTCAGTGGTAAAGTCCTTCTGGGTTCAATCACAAGTAATGCTTTTTTTTCTTTCAAAACAAATATTTATTTTTTTCTTTCTAAAGGAATATATTAAATATATTAATATATTTGTTTCTCTTAATTTAAAAATTAAATATATAGCATGTTACAATAAAATTTAGCTTTTTGCATATAATTTTATTTCAAAATATTTCACTTACCCATATGTTCATATTTGTTTCTAAAATCTATGGTCTTAGAATAAGAACTATTATTTATTTAAATTTTTATCTTTGGCAGAGTAGATCAAACTCAAGGCTGCATACCAGTTAGGCAAGGGTCTTACAACTGAACTATACTTCAACTCTCTATTTAAGGTTGTTACCCCTTGCTGGACATGGTGTCCCTAGCCTGTAATCTCAGTGTCTTGGGAGGCTCACATCTTCAAAGCCAGCCCCAGCAACTTAATGAGACCCTGTCTCAAAAAGGGGCTGGGAATGTGGCTCAGTAGTTGAACCCCTCTGGGTTCAGTTCCCAGGACCAAAGAAAAAAACTGGCACTCCCATTTTAGGCTGTATACTTACAAATTTAGAATGAAAATGTAAGGATTTAGATCATAAGTCTCACCCAGGGTCATATTATTTTATACACAGACATAGTGTTATCTGGTGTCTGTTAACATGAGTAACAATAATAAAAACTGAAAAAAGCTGCTTTCATAAAGCACTCTAATTTGTACTAAAGTGGTAACTGACAGTTAAACAAGGAAAACAAACTTTTAGTATAAGAGTGACTCTAAAGGAAAGTATGGAATAATTTTTTTTAGAGATCCTGTTTGCATCAGAAGTTTTGAGGAACTTGGAGCATTACCACGTTGTTATGGTATAGGTGAAATATAATGATTGGTCTTACAGATCCTACAGCATTAAGGAGAGACTAAATACATTTACTATGGTATTTCAAGATTGTCAGAAAGTTTGTAATTCCTGGTTAAATGATTTCCTTTGAAATTGTTTCCATTTTATTTTTGGGTGCTGGTGTTTGAATAGTTAAATTCCTTTTATTCAGCTCCATTCCTGCATTTGAAGTTGCAGACAACTGAATTAGTAATGAAGAGAGTGAAAGTAATAGGAAAAGTGGCTATTCCAAAGTATTACTAAGATCTTAATAGCATTTTTCAACAAGCTTTTTAAATTTGTAGTACTGAGAATAATACTTGGTGTCAAACTACTGTGTTCAAGTAATTGACAGTTGTTAAACATCACCTAAACTTGATCTTTATGAAATGAGAAAACATATGCTGCACTGTCTTACTACCTGCTAAAATGTAAGAAAAAAGTAGGTGAACATGAATTTATTATGATTACTGGTTACAAGTGACTTTATTTTGCAAGATAAATTAACTTATTTTGAACCTAATAAATGATGAAATAAAAAAAAATAATGCCCCATCTTAAATTTCTAAGTGTATACTAATGTTATTTAGAACACTTTGGTTATGATTAAGTGATGCTGAGACAATTTAAGGAATTGAGGGGGGAAAGTCAGTATCAGAATTTCTATTAGCTCAGAAGACACGAGATTTTCTCTGCAATTTTAGTTGATATCTTACATTCTTGGAAACATCCAGATTTTAAAATTGTGGCTTTTATCTTTTTTTAGGTTTATTATTTCCGACAAGGACATGAAGCATATGTTGAAATGGCCCGGAAAAATAAAATTTATAGTATCAATCCTAAAAAACAACCATGGCATAAAATGGAACTACGGGTATGGTATTTATTATGTAACTCTAAAGATTTATTTAGGGGTCATGGAAAAAAATGTATTAAGGGTTACTATTTTCACTATAAGAAACTGAATCATGAAGTACCCTTGTTTAATTGAAGTGGTTTTGGAGATTAAAAGGGTTTGATTTTTCAGTCAAAGAAACTCAAGATTGAGTTTATATTCACTGATAAACTTTATAAATTGCGTACAAAATTTGATCATAGTGAAAATTAGATAACACTAATGTTTAAGGTAGACTTTATTTTGTCATCTCGATTTTATCAGCAGTAGTTCAAAATTATCTTGCATTCTTTGAAATTGTTGGAAAACTATTATACTTTTTTAAAAATTGCAGTACAACCTGTAAACCATAAAGTGCACATCTTAAATACATAGTTCAATTAATTTTTACATGTGCACAGAGTAATTACCATGCAGATGAATATTAAAACCAAGAAATGTTTTCTTAGTTATGTTTAGCAATCTGTTTTGTGGTTTATTTTGTAAATGTGATTTCTTATTTTCTATATCTTAGGAACAAGAACTGATGAAAATAGTTGGCATAAAATATGAAGTGGGATTACCTACCCTTTGCTGCCTTAAACTTGCTTTTCTGGATCCTGATACTGGTAAACTGACTGGTGGATCATTTACCATGAAGTAAGGACTATTGAAAGAACCAGTAGTTTCTTAGTATTGTAGATTGTTTTTCAAGATTCAGATAAATTTAAACATGTTTTGAATATTTTTTCCTAAAATATGATCTAATCAGTTTGTTTCTATTTGTGCTTAGATACCACGATATGCCTGATGTTATAGATTTCCTAGTCTTGAGACAACAATTTGATGATGCCAAATATAGGCGGTGGAACATAGGTGGGTAATATATTCAGAAGTCATGGATGTTTGATATGTCTTTTTTTCAACCCAACAATTGATTTATTCTTTTTCATAATTTAGAAAAAGATGTTTTGCCATTAATAATAATGTTAATAACAAAGTATGATATGTATTAGAAGTATTTTTAAGTTTTGTTTAAATTGAAAATACTTTAGTTGATGCTTAAGTTTCAAACCATTTTATCTCCTACATTTGGTAACTGTTTATAAGATTCCTTATAATTTTTTTCAGCCTTTTTACATGTTGAATTAAATATTTATCCAAAAATATTAATAACAATTCATATTTGATATCAGAAGAAGTCTTGACAAAATGAGTGATAATTTGGATTGAGATTAAAGCTAAACTGACTTTATTAATTTTTGTTATTGTTATTTCTGTTATAATTTTAAAAAGTAATATTTAAAAATAATGTTGTAAACAAGTTTCAAAGAAACCTTGAAATTTTAAATATTTCCAGACATTAAGTTTTGTTAGTTTATGTACAAATGTTTGCTATGTATTAAGTAGTTGTTCTTGAGAATTTGAGATAAAGCCATTGTCATCTTGGAGTGCAGTCTGATATGAAGATGGTACGTATGATTTAGCAAAGCCCACAATTGATATATTAGTTATCTTTTCTCCAGTGTCATTGGAAGACATTGGCATGGTGATTTGTCATTTATTGGTCTTGGTAAACTTAGCTTTAAAAAAAGAATGGGCCATGTGCTGTGGCGCACAAGTATAATCCTAGTGGTGTGGAAGGCTGGGGCTGAGGCAAAAGGATTGAAAGTTGAGGGCCAGCCTCAGCAATTCAGTGAGACCCTGTCTTAAAAAATAAAAAGGAGTGGGGGTGTGGCTCAATGGTAGAGTGCCCCTGGGTTCAATCCCCAGTACCAAAAATAATAATTATTATTATTTTTACTTTAGCCTTTCCTCAGGAATTTTTTTTTTTCAGTTTGGGGGGAGGTTACAGGGGTTTGAACTCAGGGGCACTCAATCACTGAGCCACATCCCCAGCCCTTTTTTGTAATTTATTTTGAGATAGAGTCTCACTGAGTTGTTAGCACTTCAATTTTGCTGAGGCCAGCTTTGAACTCTTGATCTTCCTGCCTCGGCCTCCTGAGCTTCTGGGATCACAGGCATGCATCAGCACTCCTCTTTTCCTCAGAAATGTTTTAAGGCTTACTTTGAGAAACTTCATTTTTTGACTTTATTATTAAGTCTACAGATACTGTTCATTATGGTTAAGCTTGTATTTTCCAATTCTCCTTCTTTAACCTAATGTCATCAGTCTACTGGTGTAGGCTTGTAAATAGGTCTGTAAAACTCATAATTACCTTTATCGGAAAGCTTATGGTGTCAAGAACACTGTTTATAAAATAATAAGTATGCATATTAAATATCTCTCCCCCTACAGTGTTACCGATTTAACTCATTTTTGAATTAAGTGGGTCACTTTCTATGTTGCAGTTTCAGTGCCTTAGAGTTATACCTTAGGAAAACACAATTAACCACAACAAACATGCATTTCAGAGTAATGAGACAGCCTCTTTTCTTGTCCAGGTGACCGTTTCAGATCAGTCATAGATGATGCTTGGTGGTTTGGAACAATTGAAAGCCAGGAACCTCTTCAGCCTGAGTACCCTGATAGTTTATTTCAGTGCTATAATGTTTGGTAAGGAAATACTTGTATTTTTTTTTTTTTATTAGGCCAGTCTTGCTTTGAAATATTTCTTCATTTATCAAGAAAGGGATATATTTCTTGCAAACACTAAAGGAATTATGTTATTCATAAAAATTGTAGATTGTTTTTAATTTAAAAATTTTCCTTTCTTAAAGCTGGGACAATGGAGATACAGAAAAGATGAGTCCTTGGGATATGGAGCTTATACCTAATAATGGTAAGTATATGTTAGACTTTATGCATCAACCTTATGAAGTTGATTACTTAAGTAAGAAATGTGTTTTGTTAACTCACTACCACATAAGGTTGTTGTGAAAATTTAACAGGAAACATTAATTCAACAAATATTTGTTGTACACCTATTATTGACCCCAACGGTTAGGGAAGCTCAGCAGTAAGCAAGATAGACCATGATCCTTACCTCTTGGAGTTTATAGCATAACAGGGAGTATTGAAATTCATTTATTACAGCAAATGAAAGTTTTTAATTAGTTATTATTCATTCCTAAAAATGAGTATTTTAGGGACATTTTTTTGTAACTCCAGCAGAATACTTAAAAGTATAACATAATAGTTAAAAGGTCATGCTTTTGAGTCAGATATAGATTCATATCCTCACACTGCCATTTTTCTATGTGATTTTGGCAAGTTCCATAGACTTAAAGCCTCAGTTTCTTAGGACTCAGCCTTTGATTATTTAAACAAATACCTTTCTTATAGGGCTGCTTTGAGGATTAAATGGCATCATGTGTATAAAGTGCTTATTATAGAGCCTGACACATGTAAGAGCTCAATGAAGAGGTAGTTGTAATTAATAATAACCATCATCTTGCATATTGTCTGACACACTCAGGATTTGGGAGTTAGCCCTAGGCAGTGAGTATGACATCTTCCTTGTACTGAGAAAAGGTGGGTATGGCTGAAGCATGGAGATTACATTTTCCTTTTATCTTATTACCTGTTTTGTTTCAATTTTTAAAAAATAACCACAGATACAGTTAAATATGCCTAAAAGGGATGAAAGGGACATATGCAGATTACTAATGATTATTTTATAGAAAGTGGAATTAGGGGGACTTCATACATTATCTTTTACATTCCACTTTGTTTGAGTTGTTAACAATGTGTTACTTTTGCTATGATCTTTAAAAAAGAATAAAATGTCTGATTTGTAATATAGTAGAAATAATCATTTACAAATGGAATCGCTGAGTTGTTATTGTTACTCCAAAAAGTCAGAAAAGATAGAACTCTTGGAGAAGTTAACTTAGTCTGTTATTAGAGCCCTTTAAAACTACAGAAAATCAACTTGTAAACATTACATGTCTTATCTGGTTTTGTCCCTCTTCCCTAATGAAAGTTTGAATTTGAAGTCACATTGGACTATATTGAGTTCAATAATAGAGCTAATATGAGAGTAGTGAAACAGGTGTTGTAATACCTTAGCTATTTATAAATGAATAAGTGACACTGATTTATTAAACTTTTCATATATAAATATATCTCTATGTGTGTGGTGTTGGTGGGATGTTGTTTTTGTTATATCTGTGTGCAGAAAGAGTTTAGTTACAGTGCAAGGAAGAAGAGTTTTATACACAAACATTGACATATTTCCCGGATGAAGTCCAGTCCAAAGGAATTATTACCTGGCATATTTGTAGATTTTTGTCATCACCACCCTCTAATGATTTTCTTAGCTAAAATGTTAAAGCTTTAGACATGTGAAAAGCTTACTTTTATCACTTCAGAGCAAAAAAAAACACACAAGGATTATCTATTAGTATTCACAATTCTATTTCTACATTAGAAAATTTGAGGCTTTGATTGAAGTATTTTTGAGAAATATTTTCTTTAGCTTCACCTCAAGGTGTGGTTTATTAAAGTAAATGTGGCAGTTTTGAAATGATTTAGAAAACTTTGAAATTTGCGTCTTTTTATAGAACTGTTTTCTCTTACCTGTAACTAGATTACAGAGCAAGTTTTCAGGTATAATTTTGGAGGAATAATCATGATCATTTAGAAAATAATTTATAAATTTAGGATCCTTTTTAAAATAATGTAAATTTTATTGACCCTTGAAATATATTTTCCTTTACGAAAATGAAGAATATATTTACCAAATCTTTATAAAATTAGACTTTAATTTTGTGACATCATTAAATTTACTTTCTAAAGGTAATCTAAACACTAATTGCCAAATTTTCACCTATCTATTTTTCTATTTTTTAGCTGTATTTCCAGAAGAACTAGGTACCAGTGTTCCCTTAACTGATGTTGAATGCAGATCATTAATCTATAAACCTCTTGATGGAGAATGGGGTACCAATCCCAGGGATGAAGAATGTGAAAGAATTGTTGCAGGAATAAACCAGTTGATGACACTAGGTAACTATCAACAACACAGAAGTATAGAAGATGAGGCAGGGATGCAGGGGAGCAGGAAGCAAACTACAGTAAAAATACTATGCCAACAAAAAAATAAATAAATAAATTCTACAGTGCTTTTCAAGCATTTCTAATAGGAATCTTTTCTTGAATGAGATCTTAATGCAAGATTTAAGTATGTAAAACAGATATAAATCACATTTCTCAGCTGAATTTCAGAATAAGGGCCTTTTATAAATGCCAGAAGTATCTGAAAAATCTGGATCCTCCACAATCCAGTTTGAAGAGCCTTGGCATATTCAAACCGACATGTAAACTAGAGGAGTATTGGAAGCTAGATTTTAAATATATAAACGGTTGTACCAGTTTTCCCCCAACTATATTAATCAAACATAAGAGAATCTTTTTAAGGGGAGAGAAGGAGGATTATGAACTGAATTGTATTATTAAAAAAAAATAAGCAATAACTACAAAATTTGATTATCTAGACTCGGCTTCCAAAGTAACTCTCAGCTAGTTTGGTGGCTTATATCAACCCATTCTGCCAGTGAGTAATCAGCTTCAAAAAGTTTAGAGACATGAGTAAGAAGAGTTGAAGATAATGGGAACACAGATTGTAGGGTATTCAAATCTGAAGGCTTTTGTTGAGTAAGAAGAGTTGAAGATAATCGGAACACAGATTGTAGGATATTCAGATCTGAAGGCTTTTGTTTTTTGAGGTGCTGTGAAATCAAACCCAGGGCCTTGTACATGCTAGGCAAATGCTCTATCACTGAGTTATATCCTCAGCCCTTGCAAAATGGCAACAGTTTTGTAAAAGTGGCCCTACAAATACTGTCATAAGAAGTAGTTTTATATATGAATGAATAAAATAATATAGAGAGTAGTTTTAACTATATTCTCATTTTTGCTCTACCAGTTTACTTTGTGCCTTTGAATCAGTTATATTGAGTCAAAAACTTCTGAATCTGTTTCCTTCTCTCTCATTGCCTAATATTTCACAGAATAATGTAAGAATGAGATAAAGTGGTAAGGTTTGAGAAAGGTCATGTTCAAATGCAACATGCTAAGGATAGAATGGCTTTATCAAATATACAGATTCAGGATGACTGGCTGTCAATTGAAGAAATATGTGTGTGTTTTGAATAAGTCAGTTTTAGGAATTTTTTATAAATTTATTAGGATGTTTGTCTTAAATTTGTCTATGGATAAAAAAAAAGAAATCCCCAGAATTTTACAATGTTAATGTAGGTTTAGTAAAAAATGACTCTCTTTATGTCAGTTAAATTATGAAATTTTAATGAAAAGACAATGCCAGACTGAAGTCTGTGTGAATTAGGACTTAGTCTAAAATTTGAGCAGAATTCCTTTTGAATTATTTTGAACATAAAAAAATAAATTTTAAAATTTATTTATTTTAGATATTGCTTCAGCATTTGTGGCCCCTGTGGATCTGCAAGCTTATCCCATGTACTGCACTGTAGTGGCATATCCAACGGATCTAAGTACAATTAAACAAAGACTGGAAAACAGGTTTTACAGGTTAGAATCATTTGATGTGGATACTACCAAAAGGAAGCTAAATGATTCATTCTTTCACTCTTTGGCCAGTCTTCTACAGCTTTGTTCTTAACTTTTTATGTTTACAAATGTACATATAAATCACCTGGGGAACATGTTGAAAGGATCTGATTTAGTAGATTTGGAATAGGATATGATATTATAAATTTCTAGCAAGTTGACTATAATCTTGATTCTGCTTGTTTAGTTGAATGTGATTCCTAGATACAGTTTTTCTAGATGTGATATGACTTCATGCTCATTTTCTTAATATAAATCAAACCAAATTATTTACTTTTCTCTCAATAAATAGCATATTAGAATTTTTGTTTCTTCATAGATTTTTCTTAAAATATTAAAAATTACTTATCTTTACTTATATTCAGGTTATGAATCCTTTTGAAAAATGCAATTAGAAAAGATTTAGTTTTTCATAATTGAAGAATAGTATGCCATAGAACTAGTGTTAAAAAGCAGATATAATTTCAACTAAAATTTGTGTTTTTTTCCAGTTAACCATTTTGATAAATATTGAGTTCTTAATCTTGGACAGATTTTTGCAAGTTTTTTTTTTTCCCAAAAAAAACATTACCTGAAGTGTTTTGTCAAAAACTAAGTTTATAGTTTTCTCCATAAAAAAATTACAATTTGTAATTTTAATTTTTTTATATTACTTTTGCCCTGACAGGACAACAATATTTTAATGCATATAGTATTGCACCGGAGTTTTCTTTTTATGACTAATTTTAAATCCTACAGTTCTTTGCATTCTTTGTGTTAACTTAGGAAGTTTTTATTCATAATCTATACTTTTCTGTATAAAATGTGCCTTTTTTTTTTTTTTTTTGCATAAACAGTTTTGGGGCACTTGGCACTGAAAATGTCATTTGTTCTTCCTTATTAACAGGGTTTCTCAGCAGCAGCATTACTGACATTGGGGGCTGGAAAATTCTTCACTGTGAGGGACTTTTCTGTACTTCTACCCTTTAGATGTCAATAGCAGTTCGTACTTTTAAAGTCTAAAATGAATCTAGACATTACCGAATGTATTCTGGTGGATGAGGCACTCCTGGTTGAGAACCATTTCAGTAAAGAAAACTAAGATGATATACGTTAGGTTTAAAAGATTTTTCTGATCTTGCTGTGTGTGCTTGCTATTGAATCATTGATGATTTGTCAAAAGCAAGAGATGAAAAGGAAATCTCCTGTGACCCCCATGATGTTTCACTCAGCCATCTACTCTAAGCATTTTTCAATATCTCGTAGAAGTTTAAGATAAAAAATGAAGAATAAATTTATAACTGTATTCCTAGAACTAAATTACTAAAGGTTAAGATTTATACTTAGTACTTCAGAAATTGGAACAAGACATGGGAAGATTAGAGGGAGAGATAGAAATATCTCGTATACACTGGTGGTTGGACTACAGCTGGAAAGATAAGGAGCTGACATCTCTGACTATTACTGTTATGTTCTTTCTCATAGAAACATTGCTGAACATGATAATTGCTAAAGTGTACTTAATTATTTCAATGTACATTATAGCTTAAATAGACTTTTTTTGCATTAGCCAGTTTGAAACTTGATACATACATAAATTAGAAATCACCTATTTTTTAACCTGATAATATAGTTGTAAACTTGAGTTGTGTTCTTATGTAATATAGTGATGCCTTCATGTTGTATTTCACAGCTTAAAGTTTTTTTCCCATCTTTTTAAAGTTTGTGTTTTTCTTTTCTGATTTTTTCAGTGTCTGTGAAACTACTAGTAATAGTAGTTTGCCCTGCTAGTAATAATCTAGTGCCCTACTTTACAGTTTTCTATGTGGTACACTGAAGATGTCTGTGATTCTTTTATTAGAATGAGCCTTGTGAATCAACTTGAAATGTGCATTTTCTCTATATGCTTCTATATCCACAATTATATGTAACTTTTTAAATGTATTCTTTATTAATTCAGGCCACAATTGGATGATACTCTCAGAAGTCGACTTTTTCTTTACTTTCAGAAATAAAATTACAAAGCACCAGAACAATTTAGCATTGTCAATAGAATGTTTAGAAAATAATTCTCAGTTTTCTTGTAACACACTCATGTTTTTATGTTTTTTATCTCTTAAGCAGGCTATTGATTACCTTCTCATTTTTACATGTCATTTGATTACTAGCTCTATAATTAGATTGTTTCCTTTTATATATACAAGTTAGAGGTATTTATTTATTTATTTTTATTTATTTATTTTAAAGGTACCATACATGACAGAAATATGTAAAGCAAAAACTAAGAACTTGTTTCTCTGGCTCTACTCCTACCTCTTCCCCTATAGACATTTCCCCCGCTGAAAAGTAGGCATTGTTAATAGTCTAGTGTCCTGTTCTAGACATTTTCTTTATAGATAGATAATGTCACTCCTCTTTTTTGTCCTCTAAAACAAATGGGATTGTGCTTTTTGAAAATAGCTATTTAAGGTGTGAATGATGTAATTGGATTAAGGACTGAAATTCAGACGTTAGCATGTCTTAGTTTTAAATTGTGTATACATATTTCTAAATATGAGGTTAAGACACCTATTTTGTTTTTTTAAAGGCGAGTTTCTTCCCTGATGTGGGAAGTTCGATATATAGAGCATAACACTCGAACATTTAATGAGCCGGGAAGCCCAATTGTGAAATCTGCCAAATTTGTGACTGATCTTCTTCTACATTTTGTAAAGTGAGTTACTTATTCATATTTAATTATAATAGCTATGATTAATGGCTTTTAAAATATAAAATGTCAGACTGTAAAATACAATAGTTTTCTACATGTATAATGCTGTCACATAAATATAGTTCCTCAAAATACAAAGCCTGTGTACTAAGAAAAAAATTTGTAATGTAAAGGAAGTGCACTAAAAACATTTAGTCATAAAAATCATAAAAATGCATTACATTTGTATTCTGTAGTTTAAAAAAAAAACACATTGATCCTTTTCTCATTTCTTAGTTCATTGGATAGTAATAAAAATCAACCAAACATGTAATTTTTTATCTTCATTAGCTCTCTCAATCTTACAGGTGGTAAAGATCATTAGCTAAAATATTTGATTGAGTGAACTAATTGGAGGTAACATATACAAGATTTTTTTTTAATATATAGAGATGAGAGAGAATTTTTTTAATATTTATTTTTCAGTTTTCGGTGGACACAACATCTTTATTTTTATGTGGTGCTGAGGATCGAACCCAGCACCCCACACATGCCAGGCAAGCGTGTTACCGCTTGAGCCACATCCCCAGCCCATATATATACAAGATTATTAACAGGTATTTAGGTAATCCAGTCAGATACTGAATTTTCAGAAGTCTTTTTCCTCAATTAGGTTTATTTCCTTGTGTATTGATTCTATAGCAAGAGTGATAACTATAGTTTAAGGCAAAGGTACCTTTCCTTCCTTATTTTGTGGATTTTATATAGCCATAAAATGAATTGAGCCTTCTAAATTGAAGCCAGAGACATGAATCATGTTTTGGTGCAAAAGATTGTTCTAATTTTCTATTGATTTTACTATTTATATTAATATATATTAGATTTCCCCCTCCTCCCTTAAGTTAAGAAGAGGTAACAGTATATTTAAATACCTTAATTCAGGTATTATCAGCTTCCACTTTTACATAAGGGGATTATTCAGGCTTTTTTCCTTAACTTTTCCAGCTTCATTCTCTTTTTTTAACATAATCTTAGGATCTTTTTTCCTGGGAATATTTGTTGTGTGTGTTGTTGTTTTTTGTTTTTTTGTTTTTTTGTTTTTTCCTAAGAAATGCAAGCAGATATAAGGGAAAAACAATTAGCAAGATAAACTCTGTGTCCTTCCTCTACATTATTCTCTAAGAACTCTTTTCCTTTCCAAATGGTTTTAGGGACTTTATTGCTGTGCTTTTGCTCTTTTTCAGTGAATTTAGTAATCAAACATTAGTTAATTCTAGAAAACTCTTTGTAATTTTACAAGTGTTATAAGCATATGTATATACATCTCTTTTCAGAGATGAATTCACAGAATCACATGATATAAAATATTCATGTCTCAGTGAAGTAATTTAGATGAAAATTGTTTTTACATTTTAAATAGTCTGAAAATGCATTTCTTTCAGATTTTGAAATGCAAATTAAGGTAATATTTCAAGCATTTTATATTTATGTATTTAAAAAATTAAATACCTGGTACATGTTTAATTTGTTAAAAAACATTTTTAGCTGACAGTAATTTTGAAAATGTAAATTATTCCTTGAAATTTTGATCATTGTATTTTTTAATTGAGTTACTTGGCAAAATTTCATGCTCTCAATGTATACAAACTAATATGTACTTGGAGATAGACATAATCGTATTTTTACCCTTTTAATACAGTTTCATAGGCCAGTAAACATGAAGTTGAAATAACATAAGGAATACTGCGATAAATAACAAAAGAATTGTGTGAAAGTTTACATGAGGACAGGTCACTTCTAGTTTTGAAAGTGGAGATTCAAATACACAGAAGTATTTAAGAAGATGTTATGAACAAGGTAGATACTGATGTATTCAGGATAAATTAGATGAAAAGAAAGCCATTCCAGGGTTAAGCAGTAGCCTAAGGTAGGAAAGTAAAGCGTATTAAGAGGAATATTAGTTGGTGAAGTAGACAGTATAGGAGTAGAACTTATAGGAATATAGTGCTAAGTTGGGGACAGAACATGGTGGGCATTAAGTGCCAACCTGAGGAACAAGACTTTTATTTACTTTTTATTTAAGTATTTATTTTAGTGCTGTGGATTGAACTGAGGGACACTTAACTACTGAGCCACATCCCCTTTTTAAAATATTTTATTTAGAGGTGGGGTCTCACTGAGTTGCTTAAGGCTTGCTAAAATGCTAAGGCTGGCTTTGAGCACACGATCCTCCTGCCCCAGCCTCCTGAGCCTCTAGGATTACAAGAGGAACTAGACTTTTAAAATATAGAAAAGAGACAAAAAGCATAAATAGCACATTGGCTTATACCAAAGAGAAGGTGATAAGGGCATAATTTGTGGAAGTGAGAAAAGAATAGATGCCAAGATATTTTTGAGAATAGAATTCTGTTTGGACTGCTCTTTGGGTTTTGAGAAAGCAAGGGACAAATAGTGAAAATCCAAGATTTTCATTACTGTTAGAATGGTGTGCTGTTTTTAAAAAAAAAAATGAAAATTAAAAGAGGAAGAGATTGGGGAGTGACAATTAGGTTTAAACAAGGAATTTTAGGTGATGGTGTCAAGATGACTAAGGACAAAAATTTATGGAATGTCTCTATTTAAGAATGAATAAAGGAATGAGAAGACATGGGGTATATTAGCTTTACCTTGAAGCCAAAGGAATGGAAGACAGCATTCCAGGCATACCAGCAACCTTAGCAAATTCACTTGGGAGTCAAAAATTGGGTTTGACACAATTAAATAATCCAGGGGGAAGGATGACACAGGGTATATTGTGTGTGTCTTGGGTATCCATGTCAACAAATGCAGAAATGCTTTAGCCTCAATTTTACCCTTAAAATCTGGTTTTAAGATCAAAGGAAAAAAACTCATGACTTTAGTCTTACTTATTAACATTTTCTTGCTATTTAGGGATCAAACTTGTTATAACATAATTCCACTTTATAATTCAATGAAGAAGAAGGTTTTGTCTGACTCTGAGGTATGTAATATTTTATTATGATTACTACTTATAAAAAAAAGAAATTTACATACATACATATTACAGTTTTCAAGTAAAAACTGTTCTGAAAATTATTGTTTGCTCAGTACTATTGTTAACTTTTTAATAAAATGGTATTCAGTATTTTATTGTTATTGTTACAAAAGGGAGACTTTTTAATGAGTCATTAAATTACCCCAGCGTATATATTGAGTTTTCTAAAGTATAAAGGAAATAATTTCTAAATACACAATTGAGTGTAATGAAATCTAAAATGTTTTATAAATTTGATTTATTCTGGCTTCAAAGGAAGAAGAGAAAGATGCTGATGTGCCAGGAACTTCTACCCGAAAAAGGAAGGTAATTAACTTTTGTTTTTTTTGCAGAGGTACTTTATATGAATTAAAAATGCATTAACAGCTTATTATTAATTTTTTAGCAATCTTAAAGGCAGATTAAGTATTACTTTCAAATCAGTCATAACGTTTTTCAGAACTAGGTGGATGCTATGGATTTTTTTGTTGTTGTTGTTTGTATTACTGTATGTTATAAATTGAACATTCGTAATTTGAATACAAAACTCATAATGCTCCATGGATGCTTAAAAACTTTCATATTTTGGAGCATTTGGTTTCCAGATTTTTGGATCAGGAATGCCTAACCAGTGAAGTCTGCAATTAATCCCAAATCCAAAACCCTTCAGGACCCAACCGTTTCAAGTAAGGGATAATCAACCTGTGCCTAATTATGTAAGGCTTCGTTAAGAATTCAAAATTAAATCACGTGATGTGGAACATGCCTATGTCTTCATATACTCTAGAGGCTGAAGCAGGAGAATCAAAAGTTTGAGGCCAGTCTGGGCAATTTAGGGAGATCTTTTCTCAGAAATAAAAAAGGCTGGAGATGTAGCTCAGTGGTAAAATACTTGCCTAGCATGTCCCAGGCCTTGGGATCAATACCCAGCATGGGGTGGTGGGGATGGTGTACAATTTGTATTGTATAAGTGCTGTTTTATTAATATACTTGAATATTTTCATTTCAGGACCATCAGCCTAGAAGAAGATTACGTAACAGAGCTCAGTCTTATGATATTCAAGCATGGAAGAAACAATGTCAGGAATTGTTAAATCTCATATTTCAGTGTGAAGATTCAGAGCCTTTTAGACAGCCAGTAGATCTCCTTGAATATCCAGTAAGTTATTTTTGAAAATATTATCTGTACTTTTAGTTTGCTACATATCTTATGTATAATAGCGGGTTATTTATATGCCTATAATTTATTTCTTCATTATTACACGCATGATCTTATTATCCATTTGGTTATATAGAAAAGCTAAGTTAAATAGTGTAATAAAATGGAAAGAGCCCTGACTTTTAAATATCTAAAGAATTATATTATAGTCTTGGCTTTGCTCTTACTAGTTTTTTATCTTTGAGCAAATCACATATCTCCCATCTGTATATTATTTTTACTAATTTTTCTCTTTCACACACTAATTTCAAGAATTTTATCATAGCTAGGAAACAAATAATAAAACTTTGTTATAGGGTTATAGAGAAGAAATGAGAATAGTTTTCAAACAGTGAAGCATTATATACAAATGTAAGGTGTCATGTTATATATTCTTTTTTTAAGTTATGCCAATGTATGATCTAAATATTTATTTTTTAAGCCATCATAGCAATCCAAATTTAGCTTAGTGATTTTTATTCTTTTAACAAGTTATTAAAGATTGTATAGTTCAAATAACATGCTTGATTTCAAGTGAAAATATAAATTGATTTATAAGACATCATAACCTAGATGTGGTATCATCTGATTTCATTATCTGTTTTTTTTTTTTAATTGATCCTTTTTAGTTATATATAACATTAGGATACATTATGACATAATCACAAAAGCATGGAATATAACTTGCTCTTACTCAGTCCCCCGAACTTATCTCCTCTTTCCCTCTACTCCCCTGGCTCTACTGATCTTTCTGAAATACATTTGTGGCTTTTTTTTTTTTTTATTAGTGCCTTGTGGATATACTTGATGTTGGAATTCACTGTGCTATATTCATGTATGTATATATGAAAGTTTGGTCAGATTCATTCCATTCTTTTCCCCCTTTTCCATCTCTTCTTCCTCCCCTTCAATCAATCCCCAATCCTCTTTTATGTACTCTAGTGATCTTTCCTGTATTTTGATGAAACAGCCCCCCCCCCTTTTTTTCTTTCTGTCTTTCACCAGTTATAGGTGAATGATTTGGTCATACACAGTGTAGTTAGACTTTGCTAAAGATGTTGTAGACCTTTTTCCTAATACCTCGTACTAAAAATTTGTAGACATCAGATGTAAAAACTAGATTCTGAAGGGTGGAGACAAAGTAGATAGACTGGGCTCTCAGGACCAACTGAATGGTGAGTTCTCCTGTGTTTTGCTTTCTCATTATATATATCCCACTCAAGATATTGGAGAAGCTATTAATCTAAAAATGCTAATAAACCCTGATGATAAAGGTCCCTCAGTTAGCTCTATCTTTTTTTTTCTCTAGAAGAATCAGCAAAGGGCCAGACTAGCAATACAGAAAACTGATACACACTGCTGTACTTCAGCCAAATAACAGAAAAATAACTGTGCCCCTTATACCTTTCACATTATCAAAGATTAGTGGAGAGGCCACCTTTTTTTCTTCCTTCAGATACCAGTGGAGACTATAAGGGAAATAGAAAGTTCCACCTCTCTGGCAGTAATGAGGTACCTTAAAGTCCCACCAGCAATGTACAAGTGTACCCTTTTTTCTACATCCTTGCCAACACTTGTTGTTGTTTGACTTCATAATGGCTGCCAATCTTACTGGAGTGAGATGGTATCTTAGGGTGGTTTTGATTTGCATTTCTCTGACTGCTAGAGATGGTGAGCATTTTTTCATGTACTTGTTGATTGATTGTATGTCCTCCTCTGAGAAGTGTCTGTTCAGGTCCTTGGCCCATTTGTTGATTGGGTTATTTGTTTTCTTATTAATTTTTGGAGTTCTTTGTATACTCTGGATATTAGGGCTCTATCTGAAGTGTGAGGAGTAAAAAATTGTTCCCATGATGTAGGCTCCCTATTTACCTCTCTTATTGTTTCTCTTGCTGAGAAAAAACTTTTTAGCTTGAGTAAGTCCCATTTGTTGATTCTTGTTATTAACTCTTGTGCTATGGGTATCCTATTAAGGAATTTGGAGCCCGACCCCACAATATGTAGATCGGAGCCAACTTTTTCTTCTATCAGACGCAGAGTCTCTGATTTGATATCAAGCTCTTTGATCCATTTTGAGTTAACTTTTGTGCATGGCGAGAGAAAGGGATTCAGTTTCATTTTGTTGCAAATGGATTTCCAGTTTTCCCAGCAACATTTGTTGAAGATGCTATCCTTCCTCCATTTCATGCTTTTAGCCCCTTTATCAAATATAAGATAGTTGTAATTTTGAGGATTGGTCTCTGTGTCCTCTATTCTGTACCATTGGTCCACCCGCCTGTTTTGGTACCAGTACCATGCTGTTTTTGTTACTATTGCTCTATAGTATAATTTGAAGTCTGGTATTGCTATACCGCCTGATTTGCCTTTCCTGCTTAGAATTGCTTTTGCTATTTCTGGGTCTTAATTTTTAAAAAATTACGTGTAACTCCATAAAAATGAATACAACATATCAAAATTTGTGGTATACAGGTAAAGCAATACAGGAAAATTTATAGCACTAAATGTATACTGAAGAATACATAGGAAGTCTGGAATCTGCTTCTTATTTAAGAATCTAGAAAAAGAATATTAAAATAGACCAAAAGTAAGCAAAAGGGAAATAATGGACCTGAAATCAGTGAAACCCAAAAACTAAAAGAAAAATATCCCTGAAACTATAAGCTTGCTCTTTGAAAAGATCAATAAAAATTGACATTTATTGAGGTTTCCTTTATTAAGGTTTATTATTTATTATTAAACCTTTATTAAGGTTTCCAAAGCTAACATCAGGTGCAGTGGCATGTGCCTGTCTGTAGTTTGACCTACTCAGGAGGCTGAAGCATCAGGATTACTTGAGCCCAGGAGTTCTAAACCAGCCTGGGGAACATAACAGGACCTTCTTCCCTCTCCTAAATATGATTTATGAAGCTAAGAGAAAATACAAATTGCTAGTATTGGGGATATAATCATAAACGTTGCACATATCAAAAGGATAATAAAGGAAACATTTAGACTACTACAAACAAATTTGACAACTTAGATGAAATGGACTAATACTTAAAAACTACCACAACTCATTCAATATAAAATAATAATTTTCAGTAGCCCTGTAACGATTAGGGTGTTTAACTTGGGTTTTTTTGGTGGTTGGTTGGGTTTTGGGTGGTGGGGGTGATTCTAGGAATTGAACCCTAAAGTGCTCTTCCACTGAACTACATCCCCAGCCTTTTTATTTTTTGAGACAGGTTTTTGCTAAGTTGTGCAGGCTGGCCTTTGAACTTGGCATCCTCCTGCTTCAGTCTCCTGAGTTAATAGTTGTTTGCCACCATATCCAGCAGGAAATTTAACTTGCAGTTCAAAAGTTTCAAAAACAAGAAATCATTAGTCCCAGATGACTTCACTGGAAAATTCTACCGCATATTTTAAAGAAGAATTAATAAAATTCTTCACAATCTCTTCCAGAAGATAAAATAGAATGAGCATGTCCTAACTCATTCTGTAATTCCAGTATTATCAAAACCAGACAAAAATAGTTCAAAGGAATAAAATGCAAAAACTCTTTAATAACAGCAAATAGAACTCAGGAATTTAAAAGTGATTATATACTGTGACCAAGTAGTATTTATCCAGAGATGTAGTTCAGTATTCAGGAAGCAGGTGGTGTAATCTGTCATTTTAACAAGCTAAAGAAGAAAAACTACATGATACCAATTAATAACAGAAAAGGCATTTGACAAAATTTCATACTTATCCTTAAAAAAAGGACATTTTAGATAGGGTGTAGTAAAATCACTATGTCCATAAAAGCAAATAAAAACAAGCTTGGAAGGAAGAAGGTTATTGTCCTTGTCCCAGAGAAGGTGGAGGTCACCCTATACCACAGGGAAAGCACCAGGTTTTGGTTAGGTGGCAGAAGGCAAGAGCTATGAAAAAACTTAGGAACCTTTTGTTGAGGATTTCTGTGGGAAAGGCACAGCAAGTCAGAGTAAACAGCTTAGGGATTAAAGCCAGAGGTGCTCTACCACTGAGCTATAACCCCGGCCCTGTGGGCTCTGGAGTATACAGGTGGTCTCTAGTTATCTAGTCTTGGCCTTAGGATAATTGAAGGGTAGTAGAAATGTTGACCTGAAGTTTGAGAATTGGAAAAGGTGGTAGTTGGAACACTATATTCAGGTTGGTTTGCATGTTCTCAGTTTAACCCTTTAGTATCTTTTATAGCTCACTGGTAAAGCACCCCTGGGTTTAGTCCCTAGTACCAAAAAAAAAAAAAAAGAATTGGCTAGCCCTGGAAGAGCTCCCCCCCCCCCACAGGTTGGTAAGGCCACCAGATGCCAAAATACAGACAATATAGCAATAAAATTGATCCTGTGATGAATTAGATGTCAAATAGACAAAAACGAATTATTTTTAAAACATGTCGCACCCTTCATGATACAAATTAAGAAAACTAAAAACAAAGGGGTACATTCACAAGGCAATAAAGACCATCTATTAAAAAAGCCCATAGCTAACATTGTGCATAACAGTGAAAAACTGTGTTTCTCCTGTTTTTAAGATTGAAAGCATTTTAACTATTGCGTTCAACATAGTAGTGGTAATACTAGCTAGTGTAATTTTAAAAAGGAAATAAGCATATATGTTGGACAGGAAAAAATAAAAAATTTATAAAGGTAATAATTTCATCTTACATTGCACTTTCTTTACTTTATGATCAAACATATACTTTAAACTTGATTGTACAAAATAGAATTGTTATACTTCAAAAACAAATAGTTAAATCTTCAAGGCTATTGAAAAGATGCAATGCTTTTTGTCCTTTGTAAAATATATCCTATTTTGATAATGTTGTAATCTTATACCATATTGTGTTCATTATCTGTTGCTCTTCTGCTTTCACTTGCCTCATTTATTGCTTCCAAGCTTTTGCCTTATTTTACATACAATTGGGAAAGTAGATACCTCGAGCAATTTGGTACTCCTATATGGAATCAAGCACACTTTGTGAGAACTATTTACATTCATACTTCTTGATTACTTCAAAGCTCCCAATTATTGTACTGAAGTTGACATTATTAGAACTTCAGCCTTCAGATCAATGGAATATTACCTTACTTTCATTGTTTATGTTTTATCAGTCATAATTTAACAGTTGTGTTTCAGTGAGTCAGCAGCATTTAAATTTTATGTTTTGGGGCCTTTTTTAAAAAACAAGAGCAATTATTAATAGTTCTAGAGCTTCTATTCATCATGAAATGCCTGTGTGAATCCTTGTACTGAAAATAATGCTTTGTGGTAATAATAATAATACTGCCTGTCTTCTCTCTCCTAGGACTACAGGGACATCATCGACACTCCAATGGATTTTGCTACTGTTAGAGAAACCTTAGAAGCTGGGAATTATGAGTCACCAATGGAGTTATGTAAAGATGTCAGACTTATTTTTAGTAATTCCAAAGCATATACACCAAGCAAAAGATCAAGGGTATTTAATTTTATTTGCTTTATGTTTATCTAAAGGAAAAGTATGTTTAAGTAGCCAAATGTTGCCTTTTTTTTAAATAGAGTAAAATTAATTTTCTATTGTGTTCTCTTTTTTTTAAATTTTAACTTGTTATATATGACAGCAGAATGCATTGCAATTCATATTACCCATATAGAGAACAATTTTTCATATCTCTGGTTATACACCTAGTAGAGTCACACCATTGGTGCCTTCATACATGTACTTAGCATAATGATGTCCATCTCATTCCACCGTCTTTCCTATCCTCATTTCCCTTCCTTACCCATCCCTCCCCTTTGCCTTTTCTAGAGTTCATCTAATCCTCCCATGCCCCACCACCACCACCACATTATGAATCAGCATCCTTAAATCAGAGAAAACATTTGGCATTTGTTTTTGTGGGATTGGCTAATTTCATTTAGCATTATATTCTCCAACTGCATACATTAGCAATTGCCATGATTTTATTCTCTTTTAATGTTAAATAATATTCCATTGTGTATGTATACCACATTTTCTTTATCCATTTATCTACTTAAGGTCATCTAGGTTGGTTCCACAGTTTAACTGTTATGAATTGTGCTGCTATAAACATTGATGTGGCTGTATCCTTATAGTAAACTGTTTTTAAGTCCTTTGGGTATAGACTGAGAGGAGTGGGATACCTGGGTCAAATGGTGGTTCCATTCTCAGCTTTCCAAGGAATCTCCATACTGCTTTCCATACTGGCTGCACCATTTTGCAGACCCACCAGCAATGTTTGAGTGTCCTTTGTTCCCCACATCCTCACCAACACTTATTGTTTATATTCTTAATAGCTGTCATTCTGACTGTTGAGTTCTTAATAGTGTCCTGCTACTCCTTAGTTCCTCTATGAAGTAACACTGATGTCATTCTTTGGTGTTTAGGAATGGCTATTTTTCTTGAAGTAGTATGATTAATATTATCTACCTTTCTTTTTCCAAAGAATGATACGCAAAGAATGATACACGACAGTGTAATGAGAAGGAGTAGATGCTAAATCTAGGTAGCAGTGGAAAATGAATTCAAACCCTCAGTCATGGTTTTGATATGATAAAGTTAATAATGAGTAGTTTTGTCAGTATGCACCATCTGAATTCAGAGTAGAACTTTTAAGAATCTCAAATCTTGGGAAATTTCTAATACAAACACAAAATTAATGGTGAAAATTTTTTAGTTTACTTTACCTCAATAGAGATTGGAAAAGTAATATAAAAGCAATATTTAAATACTGATAAAATTTACTAGAAAAATATTTAAGTTACAAAATTCACTAAATGGGCATTTTCCCTTACAGAGTGTTTGAACACAGTGTTGTGGGTTGTTTTTTTTTTTCCCCATAGATTTACAGCATGAGTTTGCGCCTATCTGCTTTCTTTGAAGAACATATTAGTTCAGTTTTATCAGATTATAAATCTGCTCTGCGTTTTCATAAAAGAAATACTATAACCAAGAGGAGGAAGAAAAGAAACAGAAGTAGTTCTATTTCCAGTAGTGCTGCATCAAGGTAATTAATTTCTTTTCAGTGGCATTAAGTAATCTATAACTTTGTCATCTAAATGATAGAATTTGGTGTTTTTTTAATACTTCCTTTACTATTCCCTATATTGCAGAATGATATATTTGACATGCAAGTTCCTATGATGTGGAGGATTTTTAATCTTTTAAACTAAAGCTTTACTAGTGTAAGTGCTTAAATTCAAACTGCTAAATCTATACAGTAAAACAGCATTTTTAGGGTAGTGATGGCATCATGCTTTCTGTCATATAACTGTAGCATTTATGGCAATCCTTCACTAAATATTCACTTTTCAAAGGCTCACAACCATATGAAATCCACTACAAATCTCATATTTTAACATATTTCATAATAGTACAAATATTGAATCCAACAGTATTATAAAACTATTTTATTCACTCATAGAGCTGTAAGAATGATGAACAATGTGATCTTACTTACAGCCCTGAAAGGAAGAAAAGGATTGTAAAACCCCAGTTAAAGTCAGAAATCTCTACCTCTCCATTCTCTACACCTACACGATCAGTACCACCAAGGCATAATGCTGCTCAGATAAATGGTAAAACAGAATCCAGTTCTGTGGTTCGAACCAGAAGCAACCGAGTAATTATAGATCCAGTTATCACTACTGAGCAACCATCTACTTCATCAGCTGCAAAGAATTTTATTCCAAAAGCTAATACATCTGCAGTGCCAGGGAAAACAAGTAAGACAGTTTCTAAATTGAAGGGTGTATGATGATTTTTTTTAAGATTTTACTTTGCAGTGGGTTTGGATAATTTCCTGTAGATGCTATTGTCTTTTACTGGCTTTATTGTTTTCTCCATTTTAAAAAAAAGTTTTTAATAAGAAAAAGAAAATTGATGTGTAGGAATATCAATGTAGAATAATGCTCAATAATAACAACAAACTGACCCAAACTGCCTGAAGTTAAATTCTAGTACATAGATGTGCTAGCAGTTTGCCAAGGCTTGCTTTCATAATCTTGAACTGCAGCTTCTAAAGAGGCTTTAACTGTTAAGATTGTCTCCTTGGGTATGCCTTTTTCTTATTAGAAAGTAGGTTTCTTGGACTGGAGTTGTAGCTCAGAGTTAGAGCATTTGACCTGAAGCAAAAGGATCTGGGTTGGATCCTTAGCATTGGGGGCGGGGGGGAGAGAAAGTAGATTTTCTGAGGAAATTTTTAAGTATCCCTTAAGTTTTGACCCTTTGAGTAATTTAAGCAAATCATATTAGACACAGTCCCAAACTTTTTTAATCTTCTCTGTGTGTGTTTTAGTACTAGAAAATTCTGTGAAACAGTCCAAAACCTTGAATACTCTTTCGAGTCCTGGTCAGTCCACTTTTAGTCCTGGCACTAGGAATAATACTGCAAAAGAAAACTTGGAAAGGGAAAAACCCGTCAAACGTAAAATGAAATCATCTGTACTCTCAAAGGCATCCACTCTTTCAAAGTCATCATCTGTCACTGAGCAAGGTAAGATGTTACTTGTGTCCTTTTGAGTATAATAGATCTTTCTTACAAATGTTTTTTTTTTTTTGGTGTGGTTGGATTTATTCTTTTTATCTACTTTTTGATTGCCTGCTTAAAAATCATATAGTCTTTATTAGTTGATAAATATAGTAAGACACCCTTTGATTTGCAGTTTTATGTCAAAAGCAAACTATTTGTCATTAAATTTTTTAAAACATGGAAATAATAACACATTCTAGAATAAAAGACTTTTAATTCTGAATATTACAAAATCTATAGAAATAGATCCTTGGAGTTTAAAGTATATTTAGTTAACCTATTGAAACATTCTTCACTTTTCTAAAAAAAATTTTTGTTATAGATTATAAAATATAATATACTTACCGGACACGTTGACACATGCTTGTAATCCCAGCAGCTTGGGAGGCTGCAGCAGGAGGGTCATGAATTCAAAGCCAGCCTCAGCAATTTAGCAAGACACTGTCTCAAAATAAAACATAAAAAGGGCTGGGGATGTGGTTCAGTGGTTAAGTGCCCCTGGGTTCCATCCCTAGTACCCATCCCAGCCCCCCAAAAAATACAGTACACTAACCTCTACTAATTCATTATGGTTGTCTACAGTCAGGCTTCCAGTTTAATATATAACTGTTAGTTCCTTATAGTTAAGCTGCTGAGTTCTTTTGAAGTGCAATTTTTTTTGTTCTAAAGGTTTTATGTTTAAAAGATGGAGAAAATAACTCAATATACCATATGGCATGTTAAAACGATATATAATTCCTTACCTCAGACAACCCAATAATAAGCATTTTGTCTTATGACTTCCAAACTGTATCTAAGACATTTCTTCTTCAATGTTTCTTTGTAGAAACCTCACTCAATTTAATATCATTGGTGAAATGTCCTCATATTGATTAATGGCATTGAGATCTCTTGTTTTCATAAGCTTATAATCGGGAAGTCATCCTAGCCTTCTTTTCAGCATCCATATCTATTCAGTAGTCTTTTTTTTTTTTTTAATTTTTTATTGTTGGCTGTTCAAAACATTACATAGTTCTTGACATATCATATTTCACACTTTGATTCAAGTGGGTTATGAGCTCTAGTAGTCTTTAGTTTTTGTTGTTTCTGCCCCTATTGCATAGCTTAAATCCATTCTCACTTTTGACCTTATTGTGGGCCTACATAATTTCTTACTTAGACTACTTAGGTTCCCTAACTAGTCTTTCTGTTTCATTTTTCAGCTCTTTCTTACCCAATCCACCTTCCATATTCCATCCAAAGTAATCTTTCTGATCACTGATCTTTAGCACGTGTGCACATGCACATACACAGAATTAAAATCATTTCTTGCTCAAATGATACATGGAATCAGATTTTAATTTTTCCTTCCCAACTATTAAGCAAGACTTTTCATTCCTTGGCTCTTGCTTAACAAATTCCAGGTTTCCTTACGTTATTTCTCCCAATTATGTCCTAGCCATCTGAAACCACATGGAAGCACCTAAATATCTTTGTCTTCCCCCTGCCCCCATCTTTGAAGTTTCTTTTTTCCTTGTAGTTTTTTAAAGATCTATTTATTACCTTTCAAATTTTGAAATAATCATCTCCAGGAATCCTACTGTGTTCTTTTTAGGTAGAATCAAGCACTTTCTTCTTTGTTTCTGGAAAATCCTCTTTACTACTATTGTGGTACTTAACAGGTTGATAAAATTATTATTTTTCATGTGTCTTTGTCCACAGAAGAATATGAGCTCCTTATTTTTAATTAACTTATTCTTAAATAACTTGTATTTGGCATATGGTGGATAATAAGTGTTTGAATGAATAAGCAAGTGACTGTGAATGTTTGCATTTTTTAATCTGATTACTTTCTAAACCAAATTTCAAAGGGTTTATTGGCCTGGCTTATGTTAGTCCTGAATCCTAGAGAAATCAGATGTATATAATGATTAGGTTTTAGCATTGCAATACTGGAGCTCCCAGTTTGATTTATATGAAAATTTTGAGTATTACAAATAATCAGGTATAAGGAAGAATGGTACAGAAGTTAAGATATTTAGCTGCGCATGGTGGCTCATGCCTGTAATCCCAACAATTTAGTGAGACCCTGTCTCAAAATAAAAAGGACCAGGTATGTAACTCAGTGGAAAAGCACCCCTGCATTCAATCTCCAATACCAAAAATATATGTACATATACTCATTAATAGTGATTTATTATAAATATTGACACCTGATAGTAGAAATAAGAGACCTTTGCTAATTCCAGCTATCGTCTAAGTTATTATTTGCTCTGAGCTTTTATTTCCCTCAAGAGGCTATCACTAACCAATAAAATCTTTTGTAGCTGTTAGCTCTTTGTTGGATCATGTTATTACATATAAGTGTACCTTATTGACTGGTTTGAGGTTCAAATAAAGAAAACAATTCCATATATTAAATGTGCTATTGTTCCTTTGTAGGAGATTGTAAGAACAATGCTCTCGTACCAGGAACCATTCAAGTAAATGGCCATGGAGGACAGCCATCAAAACTTGTGAAGAGGGGACCTGGAAGGAAACCTAAGGTAGAAGTTAATACCAATAGTGGTGAAATTATACACAAGAAAAGGGGTAGAAAGCCCAAAAAGCTACAGTACGCAAAGGCAGAAAATTCAGAGCAAAATAACATGCATCCCATCAGAGATGAAGTGGTTCCTTCTTCAACATGCAATTTTCTTTCTGAAAGTAATATGGTTAAGGAGGATTTGTTACAGAAAAAGAGTCGTGGAGGCAGAAAACCCAAAAGGAAGATGAAAACACAAAAACTAGATTCAGATCTTATAGTTCCTGCAAATGTTAAAATGCTAAGGAGAAGTAACCGAAAAAAGACTGATGATCCTGTTATAGATGAAGAAGAAGAGTTTGAAGAGCTCAAAAGCTCTGAACCCCACATGAGAACTAGAAACCAAGGTCGAAGGACAGCTTTCTATAATGAGGATGACTCGGAAGAGGAGCAAAGGCAGCTGTTGTTTGAAGACACCTCTTTGACTTTTGGAACTTCTAGTAGAGGACGAGTCCGAAAGTTGACTGAAAAAGCAAAAGCAAATTTAATTGGTTGGTAACTTGAACCAAAATATTTTACTTCAAAATCTATAAAACAGGTACAGTTAAGGAATAAGTAGAGCTAACACTTCTACTTCCTTGCTGCTATGGTGGATTAGGGAATGTTATGATTTGACTTGCAAAAAAAAAAATCTTAGAAGACACTTCACTTCTTTAAATGAATATATATATATATAAATATATACATATATATTTTAAATGTTTGCTATTTATTGCCCTTAGATAGGTTATACATTTCCATATTCATTTCATTCACTGTTTGAAACATAAGAAATTGAGGACCTATAATGAATTCCTGATTTATTTATGAAAGAGACAGCTCTGCTACACTCTTAAGGAGCATAATACTCCCAATGATAGAACATTTCATATTAAAATGAATTATTTTTGATCAAGCAAGATACATTTTTTTCTTGATACAGAGGTCATGCCCCTAGGAAGACAGATATTACATAGAGTAGCAGTAAATTTAAGGAATGTGTTTCCTCTAAAGATAAAATTCCTACCATTTGATTCCCTAAAAAGTTTAATTTTAGTTACAGAATGTTCATCTACAAAATATCTAGAGAAGGCTTTTGCTTTATTCCATTTCTGCCAAACTCAAAATGTGCTGATGAAAAGGAAACATATCCACATTGGAAAACATTTGACTGTCTAATTTTTCAGACCTTGATTCTTATATCAGTCTCTCAATCTCTGTTTATTGTGCCAAAGACTGAGAATCAGTGCAGTGGAAAGCCTGTTTTTTGACTGTCAGGACAGCATACACTTTTCAATATTGGAAAGGATATATATTCTAAAGAGCAAGTTATTAAAGAGTTATGCTGAGATATATTCTTTTTTTGGTACTAATAGTAGAAAATAATGCACTGGTGGGTCCTTTGACAGAGATGTCTTAGAGAAATGTTTTAAGTGGTTAAAGGATTCAAGGAAGATACAGGAAAAAAGGTATGGGATTTGATGTTTACTTGTTGATCTGGATTAATGTCATTTCTAAACTTTAGACATATCTGATAGGCTAAAATGACTTACAAAGAAATGTGTCTGTGTGTGTATGTGTATATATTGATAAATGGGTATAATTAAATATATATACAAACACATACTTATATACTATTACCCAGGTATAAATTCCTTTTTTCAGGATTTTTTAGATAGTGGTAGAATAAAAATAATTTTAAAATGTCATACTTTATAGTTTAATTTTAAGGGGAAGATTGGTTATTTTCAATTATTAAAGGTTAAAATAGGCCAAATCACTTTTTATGCAATCATGTTTTATACAGTGGTCTCATTGCACATTGTGTTTTTTCTGCACTTTTTACGGTATCCTTATCACGCTGGTATGTCAATATACACCCTAAAGAAAAACTCCATTTAATGATTGTGCCTTGTATTCTATTATTTTTTGCATCATTAGTAAAATTAAGTTGTCTATTGTAAATGATAACTATATGACTTAGGAGAATGTATTACTATATGTACTGCTATGGAAAAGGAAAGCAGTTATTTATTTGTTTATGGTACAGTTACTTATTTTATACCTTAAAAACCAACATAAATACCATTTCTATTGTTTAAAAATGATTGTCCATTTTTTAAAAAGTTTAAAGAATGTAGTATTTTCTGAGGACTGATATGGTACAAAAATGTAACCAAAATTTTCAAATACTACATTTTTAAAAAGCAAGGATTGGAAAAATATGTATCAGCATGACCCTAATATAGAAAAATAAAGTCTTTAATTGAACCTTGGCAAAATATATAATAATTATTCTTTACTTATTTCCGATAAGTTAAATGTTAACTGTCATTTGACTGTCTTGAAGAAGAATGAAAAGTGATGCATTTTGGCTTTTTAGATCATTTGTAACGAAATTTGTACAGAAATCCTCCTGTGAAATTAAGTAAACCATTTTCCAGATCTTGACTGGATTGCTGTGATTTTGCAGTTGAATAATAATTTCAAATTTTTCAGGTTTTTTGTATATTTATTTTTTTCTAACAGATATATTTAACTATATAATTGAAATTCAGTAGTTAAACTCTTCATAATGCAGAAATGGATGGCTTGGTTATATAGAAAAATGAATCTTTCAGTTACACCATTATTGAAATTGTATGTTTGAAATTTAAGGCGTTAAAATAATTAGTTGTTTTTGAAGGCAATCTATTTGAAAATATAATTTCCTGATGTTATCTGCATTGTGTTATAAAAAAAGGATAGACTATAAAATCCATTTTTGTAAAAAAAAAAATGTGTATAGTTTTGAGGTGTGTATAGAAAAAGAAACAGTGCACACAGTCTTAGAGTACCTCTATATAGTGTATGGATTAGCTCCAACTCTTGAGCAGAAAAATGAGTATTTGCCATCTTTCCTATAACAAGTAAATGTATTGTACCTATTCTAAAGATACTGTATATTTGACCATATTTGGACATTTTCATACACTGGTTTCTTAGTAAAGCAAAATGACTTGGATCAGATTATTTGTAACAGAAACACTTAAAATGTATTGGTAATACCAGATATATTTATATTTTTATAATTTAGATTCTATACATTGCAAAAATTGAATTAAGAAATTTAAGTCATTGCCATGTTTTTGTTTTGTTTTACCACTTGGAAAAATACCCTCTTTAAGACAGTAAAGTTATGTATGTACTGTTAATAAGCCAGAATGAAACATTAGCATTTGTCTTATAGGTGAGCAATATAAAAATCTCAAGTTCGCTGCAAGTTTCTGAAATATAACTTGTTACATGCATGGAATGTGGAAATTAATTTACATGTTGATGAATACCCAAGCCTAAATGTTCTCTCTTCCCTAATATTCTCAAGCCCCAGATGAATCTTACAAAATTTGAATGTGACCACTGAGTAGTTTTAAATATTCAATCCAATGATAGTCTTATAACCTTTGGCAATGGATATTTAGCATCTTAAATTTTATTATTTGCAATCTGCTATTATAGCATTGAACCATTTTTTGTATATATTTATGAATTAAATGAGGCCTTATTTTCATTATTTTTATTGCCCAACTTCACTGCAGGCTGGTGGCATTATTACAAAACTGTCTTTCCTCCTTAAGTTTAATTAGAAAAATCATAGAATATGTGTGAGCTTGTTTAGGTCACATCTGAGACATAGAATTGACTGAATTAAGTATCACCTGGAAATGAATTAAGTTTAAGAAATGGTGAGCAGAGAAAAGATCCTCATACAGCACGTATGTTAATATCTAAAACTGTCCCTTATCTGCAGTGTAGCAAATTATCTAACAAGTATATTGAAATGACATTTTATCGTTTGATATTAGCATTTACCTGTTACAAAGTATTATTCATAATGTAGTTTCTTCAGTTAGAAGTATTACTTTAATTTTGACATTCCATTGTATTCATTGATGCCTATATATTTTTCTCAAGTATAATCTGGAAATAATTTTGATTTTCAGTTTTCTATCTAAAGAAAACATTATTCTGAAGGTTTTTATTGACTGCAATTTATTTTTGAGTATGTTGAAAGGACCAAGATACTTGAGTGATTAAAGGGCTATAAATGTTCACCTTAAATGCAGGAGGTGTATGATTTTAAAAGTTATAATAGAGGAATTACTTTATCTTCTGTGGATTACAGGTCCCAATTTACATAGAAAATGTTTCTAACATAACAGGTTAGGCAGTTTAGTTTTATTTAGGTAAGAATTTATCTTCCTATTAAAGTTGGAAAAATATACCTTTCCTTACTTCCATCTTTGCACTTCTGCTTACTTTCCCTGTTTCCAAGTGATTTGCGCTAAATTATTATTACATTTACTAAGAAACTATTTTCTTAACTAGCAAAGCACTCCAAAAGAAAAGTCATTTTGAACTGTGTACAGTACCCAGGAAGAGGTCATTGAGTCAGAAGACTGTAAGTACCACTTTGAGCACTCCAGCGATAAATCTTATACACACTACAATAAAAGTGAGTAGAAAATCTGAGCTATAAATATATATTTTTAGTTTTGATAGGTGTTTTGGAATACTTTTTTAATGCAGATAAAATTATCAGGAAATTAACCTTATGGCACAAACCAAATACATAATATTGTGTGACTGAGTTTCTACATTCAAGGAGATAAGAAAATAGGTTCAAGATGGTATGTAGTACACAAGCGTATAAAGCAGATGCATACAAATGCATACACATACTGGTTACTCTTAAGAATGTGTGTTTATTTATCACAATGATAGACTGTAAAATGAGACAAAATAAAGTTACATTTTTGGACCATATTAAAACTGCAAGAAGACAGGTCTTATAAAAAATATCTTTTAGAAAACTGTTTAATCCTGTCACAGGATATTTAGACATGTGTAGAATGTAGCTCAATTTTTAAAAAGTAACTGACCTAGAGGGTTAAGGTTGAAACTGACACATTTTCAAATTAAAATTATGCTTATTTTGTACAGAAAACAATGTTAAACACAAGCAAATCCGTTGTATGTAATAAGTAACAGAGTTAAAAACAAATTATTATTTAGCTTTATTGAGGTTTTTGGGTTTTTTTCCTTCCAGACCTGGAGTATCATGTTATAAACAGCAGTCTCACACCACAATAGCAGTGCCCTTTCTTTTTGTACATATTGATTGGAACTTTCTTTACTGTTACGTGGACACTTTCTATGTTAGTTTTGATGCATAATTCTTTGAATCCTTTTATACAAACTAGAATGTATGTGTAAGAATTCCTGTCCCTGCAATGTAGTAACTATAAACTTATTTTTAAATAAATAGAAAACTTGTTTTTCTAACCTTTTTTGTAAAGTCTCATGATTTCTTTATTTTTTATTTGCTCTTTGTAATATATAAAGCTCTTGATACATAATTTTAACAGGCAATTTACCAAAGTGGTTGTTTGGCAGAAGCCATTATAGTAATGCTGGTTCATTAAAATTTTCAGTGTCCTGTTTAGAGAAATGTTAAAATCACTATCAATTAAAGGAAATTGAGTATCTGAGTGTAATTTAATTACAAAAATGACTGAAGATTAAAAATAAAAACTCATTTGCCCTTTTTAGGTGTTCATATGAAATAATTTTATTGCCGGGCATGGTGGCACACACCTCTAATCCCAGTGGCTCAGGAGGCTGAGACAGGAATATCAGGAGTTCAAAGCTAACCTTAGCAACCGTGAGGTGCTAAGCAACTCAGTGAGACCCTGTCTCAAAATAAAATACAAAATAAGAATGTGGCTCAGTGGTCGAGTGCCCCTGAGTTTAATCCCTGGTACAAAAATACTTCAATATTCATATTTTAAAGATATATGTCAAAAGAACATGCTATATAAATGTTTTCTCAAATGTGGAATTTCTGGGAAGAGTTTTGAAGAATGAGAAAATTTAACTTAAAAAGCAGTGTGCAGATATTGAGATCTATAAAACTGTTGCTATTTTTCTAGCAGTTTGCTCAGATCAGTATGCATTTTTATTAACATCCTAAGACTCTAATTTTCATATGAAGAATAGTAGATATAAATACATAAGAATGTGTCTATAGTAGATTATTCAAATTAAGAACATAAGGAGGAATTTCTAATTTTGTGCTACTAATGATCATTTCTACCTAAGAAGTTTTGTTAAACTCCTAAGTTAATCGAACCAGGTACCTTTCCCATCCCCCCTAAAATATGCAAATACTAATACCAATTATATACTTAGAAGAACCAGCAAAGTGAAATACATTTTCAGCAGCCACTTTTTTTTTTTTAGTATCATCAAGTTGCCCAATCTGGCATCAAACTTGTAATTCTGCTTCAGCCTTCAGTTGCCACCATCCAGCTAGCAACTGCTTTTTAATTATTTCTCTTTTGTTGTAACATCAACTATGATCTGAGTTTCCTCAATATTTAAGAACAGTAAAGACCAAAGCACAAAAGCTCTGATCCTTGCGATGTGGTACTTAGTAACTCTGAATTCAATGTATTGTTCATGTATTGATTACTGTTTGAGGGAAAAGAATGGTGGAAAGGATTCAATGAAGTACCTTTCTACCTAATTAGACATGTTATTATACTGAAAAGTACTGGACTTGGAATTAGAAAAATGGAAGTTTGACTCGTCTTAGTGACAGTAAAGAAGTAGAATAACCCCAGCAAGATTATTACATCTTTGAGCTTCATTTTCCTCATGTGAAAATCTTTTAAAAGTTGATTAGATTATTGACAAGGGCCAATTAAAATAACCTGTAATTATCTCATTTGTGTATTGTCCTCTGTACCCATGATTCAGTCTTGGCTTTTCTGTTTAGTCCCTATAGAAAATATACTATTTAATGTAAAGCTTCCAGGCAAGCTGTGTCTTATGGCCATAACCTGATTATAGTAAATGTGGGATTTGCTGAATCCCTGAAAGAAGTTTTGACTGTTGCAAATCTATTGTTATAAATTGTGAGTCAATTTGAAATATTTGCTACTGATGAGAAAGAGAAATTAATTACTTAAGAACATGGATGTCTAAGAATAAGTTGATTTATTCAAAATGAAGTAAAATATCTTAAATATAGATGACATTAATTTTAAGGAAAATTTTTTTACATGTGGAAAATTGCTTTTTTTGTTGTTTTGATCTTTGTTTTTGATACTCGAGGACATAAGTAAAAAAAGAAACAAAACTATTCTTATGAGATATAGAATCTGCCACCTGAACAGATTTATAAAGAGTTTGAAGAGTAACTCAATCTCCTTTTAAGACTTTTTATTTAAAAATATTTTAAAGTTTTTATTTTATTTATTTATTTATTGCAGTGCTAAGGAGAAATTTCAGGACCTTGTACATGCTAATATATGAGCCACAGTGGCCCTGAGCCAAGGACAATAGATGGGGCAAGCAGCACACAGAAGCAAAAGCCTGGCAGGAAGAGGCTGAGGAAGAAGATACATGGGAAAATTGAGGCTTTGAAAAGCTATCATGCATAATAGGGAGTCCAGAAGGCCATGTGCATGCCTTATGCTAGATGATTGAGACCTGAGAAGACCCTGAGTGTTCACCTCTCTCTGACCTTTAGGCTTCACACAAGCATGAAGTGAAAGAAAGTTGCAAACACCTTCCCTAATAAGCATTGAATTAGTCCTCCAACACACAGCCAATCTGAGTTAACATAATTTAGCTATAAGCTTGTTCCCCCAAATTTGTTAAATAATTTTATCTAACTTTTTACATAATATTTGTGTGGAAACATTTTTGAAAGAAAATAGGGAGCCCGGAGGGGCTGGAAAATCCAACAGACTATAATACAGGTGTGACCCTTAAGTGAGCAAAGGAGGGGAGGAATGTTGGGTGAAATATCCTCAACTGCTGCGTAGCCTAAGAACATTTGGCAAGGCTGTTGGATCAAAGTTGACCATCCATGGAGTCACTGTTTCCTGGATATGCATGCCAACTGCATGTTCAGCATTGGCTGGGAGCAGTCTCAGGAAGTGTGAACCGCACAGTGATGGAATTTAGAATGTAATTTCTGGGGCCCTGGGCTGTTAAGCTCCTGCAGGTGCATTTCTATGAGGCACATTTTCGTAGCTACCACAACATGCTTTAATATCTTAAGATTTTGGGGCTTTATTTTTGCCATGAAGTCACATTTTATTTACACTCTTCCCAACTTCTTGATGAATTACATTGTTGGAAATGCTGACTCATAGTCTTTGAATCATTTCCTCTAACAATTTCAGTTCATAATTACTGCATCGTATGCAAATTAGTATACAGTGGTCCATATGATGTAGACAGAAGTTCACATTTGAGTCATGACAATTCTTCCTATAATACCTGTTATAAAAATCTATAACTGAACTGTTAGAATGCTAACAGTGGTACGTATAAAAATTTATTCAGCCTGTTAAGCTAAATGTCATAATCATAATCATCAAAGAGGGAACTTGTTCATTATATGTAGGCTGCCAGGGTTACCAGCACCCCTGTAGAGCAGATTCCTGCTTGGAGGTGTGAACCGGCTGGGAAAACAAACAGTCTGAAAATAATAAGGAGCAGAAGACAAGGGACAGAAAATAGTTTTAAAAGCAGGGCACCAGGTGGCTCTTCCAGCCCTCATGGGAACTGGTACTGAACACGGAAAAAGGGCCCAAGACCTTTATTTAAGGAGAAATATATACGTTTCAGTGTTGCAGGTTTCTTGAGGAAAGCAGAATAAGAATGGGGAAAACAAGTTGTTGGGGGCTTGGCAGGTTACGCCCATCTCCACGTGGATGCATTTGAACCTAGGGACTGTGAGCTAAGGCAGGGCGCCAGTATGATCTGGGCTTTCTCCAACCTGGGAATTTCACCCAGGAGTTCTCAGAAAAATAGCCTTCCTACCTTATAATGGCTCAAACAAATCCATAATTTATATGTGACTTCCAACAGTAGGCAATAGACAATTTATTGAAAATCTTTCAAGTAATTTTATATGTAAATACCATATTCACAGCCTTGAAATTGTTTGAGTGTTGTCTTGAGTTAATTTTTACATGAATGAGGTCACCAACCAAATGACAGCAGAAATGGAATCTAGGCAGAACAACTCCAATGAACACAAACACAGATATGTCAAGATTCTGTGTGAATATACCTTTGCAGCCTGGGAGGACTCTGGTTTCATTCCTTATACAATTTGGGTTCACCAATATCCCTGGTGTGCAAAAAGAAAACATTTTTGAAATGTGAAAGTACTGTATAAATCATTTTAATGTGTTGGATATTGTGATATCACAACTCAAAATAATGACTAATCTCTAAAGTTTAGATTGATTTTTCAGGCAAAATTTTAAAAGAAGTTAACATTTTGGGTTAACCTCTGCATAATTCAATATAAAGGCAAATTAAGAAAACCCTTTTCTCAAGTGTGAGAAAAGTTTTCAATGTTCTTTTGCAAGTTAATAGCATTACCTGGGAGTTAATTGATAAATATATTAATTTGTTAATCCCCACCTAAAGCAAAGTTAATTTAGGGGAATAGCTTAAATGATCTAGATTAAAAGTGAAATTTTATCTTGGAATATTTCATATGAATTAAGCATTTTGGCTTAGTGTAACATTGTGATGATTAAAAATATATATATTGTGATTATCAAGGAGTAGTAGAAAATGTCAAATATAAAAGGATATATCATCTGCTTACTTCCTGTTTTGTGCAATATCAGTATTTTCAAGAAACCGAACAAATGCCTATATTCTTTAACAAATAGTTGCAATATTGCTAGAGAAAAAGGAGGGTTCACCTAAAATATTTATTATTTAGTTCATTCTCTTTTTGTCTAAAAACCTTTTAAAAGATGTAGTCATCTCTCCAGTGATGGCTTTTGTGCCATCACAGTCCATTTTAGACAATGTTTGTATAGCATATGTATAAATGTGCTTACAGATGCCTGTGAATTATAAGTATCTAAATATTTCTGTAACAAATTGCATATGCAGTATGCAAGTGTAAATTCACACAGCACATTTAACAAATCAGGAGCCTGATGCTAATATTTTTTTTCTCATATTTGGTGTTATACTGTCTTTTCATCCAACAATAATTTTTAATATTTCTAAGATGTGTTCATGTGTTTTATACAAAATATAATTCATTTTCATTGCTGAATAGTATTTATTGTGTGAACACATCACTATAACTATTCTGTGGCCAGAGATATGGTGGTGGTTTCCAACTTTTGCTATTATGAACAACCCTGCTAAGGACATAATTTCCTGTATTTGCTTTTGTACTACTTCAGTCCATTGCCTACACTGCTGGTGATGTTGGTAATGGTGATCTGCAT